CAAGACGGGCGAATTTATTATTTCGCCCGTCAGGTGATAAAACAAAAACGAACGAAATAATTAAAGTACAATATCTCGCCCATCAGGTATAAATACCTGTTGGATTTTTGTTATTAAAAATTAATTTTACAATTAATTTGAAGTTTTGAAAAATAATTATTATATTGAATAACAACTTGATTTAAAAAAGGTTATAAAAAATTAAGGTTTTTTAATATAACGTGTTGTTAAATTTACTTGTTAATTTTCGCATTTGAATTAATAACAATCAGATACGAAAAAAATAGATTCAATTATAAATTGTACAATTAAAAATTAGCACACATATAATAATTAGGTTTAATAAATTTTAGACGCAATATTCCGTAGCTTATAAAATATTTTATTACTTAAATTTTGAAAAAAAATTTTGATTATTTTATTATACTAGTAAGTAAAAAAAAGATTACATAATTATTTTCATAAAATTATTATAAAGAAGTAGGGTGTCCTTTATGTTCATTTAATGAACAATTTGCTTCCTTATGGAGGAAGCATTAACACTAAAATTAATATTTATAAAAAAATTGTGTTTGTTTAAATTCAAGTTTAAACATAAAATTATTGTATTCCTTGCATTATAATAAATCGATTGGTATGTATGATATATATTTAAATTATTATTATTATTTAAATTGAAAGAGTTAATGAAAGTTTAAAAAAAGGAATACAATTATTTTATATTTGAACATGAATTTAAATAAACACAAAATTTCTTTGTTAAAATGTAAATTTTTTATTTTTTTAACTTTCATTAATTGTTTTAATTTAACGCAAATGTATACTTTATACATACCAGTCGATTCGTTTCAATGCAAGGAATACAATTATTTTATGTTTAAACTTGAATTTAAATAAAAACACAATTTTTTAGCTAAGACGTAAATTTTTTATTTCTTAAATTTCATTAATTTTTTAAATTTTATTCAAATGTATACTTTCTATATACTAATTGATTTGTTTCAATGCAAGGAATAAAATTATTTCATATATAAACTTGAATTTAATCAATCACATCATTTTTTAGCTAAAATGAGAATTTTTGATTTTTTAACTTTCATTAATTCTTTAAATTTCAATCAAATCTATACTTTATATATATCAATCGATTCATCTTGACATAAAGAAGACGATTATATTATATATTACCTTAAATTTTTCGATTTAAAAATTTTTTCAATTAAAAAAAAAATTTTGGAAAAAAGACGATAAAATTTTTTTTTTTGGGTATTTTTAAAAATCCTCTCGTCATTTTTGAGAGATTAATGTGTTAAATAAGCCTACCAAATTTTACCCAAATCCATTAAAACCTGTTAAAGATATCGTGTTCACAAAAACTATCCACACACACATACATACATCCGGACAATTGATCAGGATCTCATATAACATGTTTCTATATAGAGGAAAATTTGTTTTCACCATTTTTAAAAATTTTATAAACGAAAGGACTACATAGCTTCCTCCACGAGGAAGCAAAATGGAAAAAAACTTAAATTTTTATTATGGTTTAAATTTTACTTTTTTTAAAATTGTTAAGTTTTTTGGATTGAAATTAAAAACTTAAATTTTTATTATGGTTTAAATTTTACTTTTTTTAAAATTGTTAAGTTTTTTGGATTTTGAAATTATATTAATATCATTTCATTTTTGGCCGAAAATCCAAATATTTTTTTAAAAAAGATTAACATATTAAATATGTTAATATTTTTTTAAAAAAGATTAACATATTAAATATGTTAACCTTTTTTTAAAAAAATATTCGAATTTCTGGCCAAAAAAAAATTATAGTAATATATTTTAAATTTTACTGTCAATACTTTTAAAATTAAACTTCTTCAACAATTTATATTATTTTTCAACGGCAATTTTTATACATACTTTCTTTTATAATTCCGAACAATCAATCGTATATATAATTTTCTGGTTTTTAAAATTTTTAACTTTCAAAAAAAAATTTAAATTCTAAAATTGACAAAATATTTTTTTCAAATTTCAATAATTTAGAATAATTTTAAACCCTAAATAATGCCAGAAAAAAAATTAAATAGACAATATAAATTTTGAAAGGTTAAAAATTTACTGGTCCCTTTCGTTGAAATAAATTTAAAAATCGACTGTTTCTGACATTTTTTGTAATGTAAAACGATTAAAACTTTTTTTTCCTTTAAAATTGATTTAAGATTTGAGTGTATTAAAGATATTTTAGAAAAATAATTATTTAATATTTTTTATTGACATGAATCATAAAATAATCGAATTTTTTCAGAACTTTAAATAATAAAATATTTTTATAAGCTATTGTCTAAAATTTATTTAATCTAATTATTATAGTACGTTTATTTTTAATTGTACAATTTATAATTGAATATAGTTTTTTGCTTCCTCGTGGAGGAAGCTATGTAGTCCTTTCGTTTATAAAATTTTTAAAAATGGTGAAAACAAATTTTCCTCTGTATAGAAACATGTTATATGAGATCCTGATCAATTGTCCGGATGTATGTGTGTGTGTGTGTGTGTGTGTGTGTGTGTGTGTGTGTGTGTGTGTGTGTGTGTGTGTGTGTGTGTGTGTGTGTGTGTGTGTGTGTGTGTGTGTGTGTGTGTGTGTGTGTGTGTGTGTATGTGTGTATGTGTGTGTGGATAGTTTTTGTGAACACGATATCTTTAACAGGTTTTAATGGATTTGGGTAAAATTTGGTAGGCTTATTTAACACATTAATCTCTCAAAAATGACGAGAGGATTTTTAAAAATACCCAAAAAAAAAAATTTTATCGTCTTTTTTCCAAAATTTTTTTTTTAATTGAAAAAATTTTTAAATCGAAAAATTTAAGGTAATATATAATATAATCGTCTTCTTTATGTCAAGATGAATCGATTGATATATATAAAGTATAGATTTGATTGAAATTTAAAGAATTAATGAAAGTTAAAAAATCAAAAATTCTCATTTTAGCTAAAAAATGATGTGATTGATTAAATTCAAGTTTATATATGAAATAATTTTATTCCTTGCATTGAAACAAATCAATTAGTATATAGAAAGTATACATTTGAATAAAATTAAAAAAATTAATGAAATTTAAGAAATAAAAAATTTACGTCTTAGCTAAAAAATTGTGTTTTTATTTAAATTCAAGTTTAAACATAAAATAATTGTATTCCTTGCATTGAAACGAATCGACTGGTATGTATAAAGTATACATTTGCGTTAAATTAAAACAATTAATGAAAGTTAAAAAATAAAAAATTTACATTTTAACAATGAAATTTTGTGTTTATTTAAATTCATGTTCAAATATAAAATAATTGTATTCCTTTTTTTAAACTTTCATTAACTCTTTCAATTTAAATAATAATAATCATAATTTAAATATATATCATACATACCAATCGATTTATTATAATGCAAGGAATGCAATAATTTTATGTTTAAACTTGAATTTAAACAAACACAATTTTTTTATGTATATTAATTTCAGTGTTACTGCTTCCTCCATGAGGAAGCAAATTTTTTGCATCATATAATGAGGAAGCAAAATGTTCATGAAATGAACATAAAGAACACCCTACTTGTTTGTATCTGATTTTATTTATTCAAATACGAAAATTAAATACACACTGCAAAAAGATTTATTTAATTCAAATAATCAGTCATTATTGAATATATAATAATTATTTTTCACAACTTCAAATTAATTGTAAAATTAATTTTTAATAACAAAAATCCAACAGCTATTTATACTTGATGGGCGAAATATTGTACTTTAATTATTTCGCCCGTCTTTTAAAACACATTTATTTCGACGGGCGAATAAGCCACTTCACACAATCGTATCTATTTCGCCCGTCGCGGGCGAAATAAGAGAAATGAATTAATTCGCCCGCGACGGGCGAAATAGCCACTCCGAAATTTAATAGTAAAGTTCGTTTTTAAATTTTGTGGTTTTGTATGGTCTAAAACAATCCTTATATTATGTGAGAGAAATTTCGGTGCGTAAAGTAAATTTCAGTGCGTAAAGTGAATCACTTTACACACCGTTTGAAAAAGAGCTTCTTTACAGTTTACACACAATTTTCGGTGTGTAAAATTTAACTTTAGAGGTTAGTGTTGCAAAAAAAATATTTTGAAAAAAAATTTTTTTTTTCAAATGTTGAAAAAATTGTAAAAAATAAAACGTTGTGAATATATGTAGAAATCCTTGTGTCAGATTTTAGGTATTAATGATACATACACACATACATCTGGACATTTGCTCAGGACTTCATATATATTAATTTTAGATGAAAATGAGTCCATATAACCCAATTATAAAAAATCAAAAAACGTCACGAATGCAAAGCTTCATTATGAGGAAGCAAAAAGATTGAAATTCTGTTGAACAGTGTTTAGCGGGACGCGAAGCTCAAATCCGGGACGGATGGTCACGTTAAGTATGTATAAATGGTACTGGGGACAGGCCATACTTACCATGACGTTTCGTACTTTAAAACAGCTTTTAAGGCTAAATTATAAAATTTTAAATGAAAACGACTACTTATTGACTTTTGTTTGTGAAAATAGAAATTAGTTGAATTCATAGCGACATTATGTGCAACTAATTTCTTAAAAAAAAATACGAGGGACAATAAATTATTTATTTCTTTGACATTTTTAAAATTTGTTTTTTCAATGAAATTTTATTTTATTTATGCCAATATAGCAAAGTTGGGTAATTTATTGTTGAAGCAAATGATATACGGGCACTTTGGCGTACTTCCTTGCTCTTCAATCATTGGCGATTGTTATACGGTTAATATCTTATCATATCATTTTTTTCTCACTGACTGAAGGTCATGCTGATAGAAAAATATCTTCTTTATTTGTTGAGTCAGCAACTGTAATTCGAGAGTTATCTGATTAATTCCAATAGATGGAGACACAAATCGGTTCTGTTAGAAATGACAATAAAAAAACTGAATAAAAAGAAACGAATGAACAAACAACCAGAGACCAGAGTCACTTGTGGTCATTTCTTAGTCAGTCAAGAGCGGTTTTGACAAACGTGTATATATGTATATTAATTTGCGACATTTGTTGTGTTGATCAGTGCGGATGCAGTGCAATTTCTTTGACATACATATAGAACAACGATAGTATTCGTCAAGGGAAAGTTGCAAAAAATTTCAATTCACTTGAATCGTATAAAGTAGTTTGAATTTAGTATTATATTTAAATTAATTGTCTATAATAATGACTGCGATCAACAAAAATTTGCAACGTGAAAGAGAGAAGTGTACTTTTCAACCTGAAGAATTGACTCATTTTTTGGATGGTAATGTTCAAAAAACTATCGATCGTCGAGAAACAGGTGAATGTTTATTATTATTTAAAAAAAAACGAAATGTGCATTTTTTTTAAATATGTACAAATCTTCTAATCTCTCAATATAAAATCAATAGGAAAAATAAATAAATGAGGAAAATAATTGCCATCATTGAATAGATTCAATAAAATCAAATTCTAATTAATTGTTTAAAAAATAAGATTTCTATCTTATTCTTAATTTATTATAATAAAATTGAATATGTTTTAAATATTTAATTTTAAAAATCAATATACATAAATTGAAGTAAACAAATTTTTGAATTTTTATGAATGCAAATAAATGTTAATGGTATTACTTGATAGTTTTTTAAACAAAATATTTTGCTTAGAATTAGATATAATTCTAGTGAATAATTTATAACTGAAAAATATCAACAAAGTGTAAAAATCTTGGAAAAATAAAGCTACATTTGAATAATTTTTTTTTCAACTAAATAATCATTTACTATAAAAAAAATTATATCTATATAATACATTATCTTATTTTTGATCAAATTATTGCTGAAATATGTAAATTTTCAAAAATTTTAAAGATTTACTTTTTATTAATATTATCAAATTTAACATTGTTACTTTTTTTTATAAATCTTGATTTAATAGTTTTCACAGTATCTGGAATTCTCAGGGAAATAAAAAAAAATATATATATAATATACATATAAAAATATATCAAGTTTATTTATATTAAACCGGAAATAAATAATTTACTTTCATTATACTTGAATAAACATTAGTATTGAAACTATATATGAAATAGAAAAGCTAAAAAGAAAAAGATAGGAAAGAAAAGTCATGTTCCGCATGTAATATTACAATGGGAAGATTACGTGTATACGTGCTTAGTCATCGTAGAAAAATTTTGTTTTTTGTTAATAATAAATCTATCAATTTTAACAAATTTTTTTTCAATGTTTAAATTAATTAAATTAAATAATTTAATTAAAATGTAAAATATTCATCGTTATTTTATTTACAGAACTTTGAACTACGTTTATTATTTAGGAGATGAAATTCCGTCACGCGATATACGTTTATGTGTCACAATCGTGTCATAATCACAAGTTACTAATCTTTACTATTAAAATTGCATGTCATTTAGGTAAATATTTTGTTGAATTTCTTTTTTTAAAGTATTTTTTCTAAATGAATTTTTAATTTTCATTGTCTACGTGTTATTTCCTCTGTAAATAATATTTCACTTTTATTTTTAATGTTCAATTTATAATTTAAATAATGTACAAAGAATTTTTTCATTATTTTATTTTTTAATTTTCAGTGTAAACAATTTCAAGAATTTTTTTTATCGAATACCAGGGCAAATTGAATTATCAAAAAAGAAAAGAAAATTGTCAGAATAACAAGAATATCAGTCTCAAATTAATGCATAAATAATAATTGTATAGATTATACTTGAGATTAGAGTATTTCGGTGGATAAAATAATTTAACGTTTTGACAATGCACATAAAAAAATTAAATTTTTTTACTGTTTTTTGATGCAAACATTTTAGATGGGAGTTTATTTTAATACTAAAAATTCATATTTTCGTGTAATTTTAAAGGTCACAATATTTAACATATTCACATTTATGCATAAATTAAATTCACACTTTAGTATAGAAAATACATACTCATATTTATACTGATGCTAAGAATTATGTGATCAAAGATGATTTTGTAGAGTTTACAAGGTCATACATAAAAAACTATAATGTTATTTATAAACTTGAATGAATAAAAAAATTTCTTGATTGAAAATGAATTTTTTATTGAATAAATTGACATTATGATTAAATAATGCAATTTCCAATGATTTAAACACAAGTCTATTTTATTTTTTATTAATTAATTAAAATTCATCTTATTACATTAATGAAATACATACATAAATTATTAATTAAATAAGGTTAATTAAAAAATTATTTTTAAATATGTATCTTATTAATGTATTAAATAATTACAAGTGTACTATTTTCAAAGAAATAAATCTGACATTGAAAGAAAGCAGAAAATTTATAGTTATATTGTTAATTTATTTGTTTATTTACAATTCAAATTGAAAATAGAAATAGTTAAATTTCTAATTATTAAAACAAAAATTTTTTAAGTAAAATCAAACCGCATTAAACGACATACTTTCTGAAACGATTCAAACGTATCAATTTATAATTGGAAATTCAATCAACAAAAAACAAAAGAGATACAGACAATCTTAGTAATTTCTATTTTTAATTTTGTACTCAGAGAAAATATTTCAAAATCTAAATTATTTGAAAAAATGGAACTCTGAATTGATTAAAAAATAAAAAATGTTTATAATTTTGTTTTTTCGGTAAAATAAATTAATATTTGTTAACTACTTATATTTCATGAATAAATTTTCGTAAATTAAATTTTTATTCTGTAATTAATGAAAATCATACAAAAAACAAGAAATACAAAAGCAATATATTTTTTTTTAATTTGAAAAAAATGAAACAATCAATGACTTTTTTAAAAATTATATAATTTTTTATGATACTCATACCTTTATTCTTCGACTTGAATCAGGAATACATATTATAATTGTGATAAAAGTAAACTAAAAAGTTAAAGTTAAAGTTAAAAATAGTTTTTTGTAAGTAAAAAACAATAAAATTAAATTTCATTCTTTTTTTGCAGAGAACTTTTTTTTAAAGGATCCAGAGTTACGCATGAAACTTTCTCCAAAATATTTAAGTCACAAAGAAGTATATGAGGATGCTGTAAAAAAAAGTTGTTTGATTCTCAAAAAAGTTAAAGAGTTTCAAGATACGGGACGAGGTGGGGACATCAATATTTATTCGTGAGTCTTCAATTATTATTATTATTAAAAATTTATTTCTAACTTTTTAAATCATTTTAGAAATATATCTTTTATTTTAAGAATATTTTAAATTTATTTGCCCACATTCTTAAATTAGTAGTTAATTATTTTTCGATTTATATTTTCTCATTGTAAATATTAATTTCAATAGAAAAAAATATGGTTTAATTTTTTGTTTAGCCAAATTTTGGGAGGAATGCTCGGATCAGCAATTTTAAAAGATGGAAATCCCTTATCGTTACATTTTGTGATGTTCATCCCTACAATTATGGGTCAAGGAACTATTGAACAACAGGCAGAATGGATAACTAGAGCATGGTTTTGTAACATTATTGGCACTTATGCTCAGGTAAATACAACAAAGTAAAAATCATTGTTCTTCTTTTTAATAAATAGGTACATACTACATGAAATAAAAAATTGAAATAAGTAAAATAATTACAATTTCCCAAATATAAAACAATTTTGTCAATAATAGTAGAATAATTATTATCTCTTAGACAGAATTAGGACATGGTACTTTTATCAGAGGTTTAGAGACAACTTCAACTTATGACCCTTCAACCCAAGAATTCATTCTCAATAGTCCAACATTGACTTCTTATAAATGGTGGCCTGGTGGCTGTAAGTTTATAATTTTCAAAGTTAATTTTGTTTTAAAAAACAAAAAAAAGTTTAATGTATTACTCTTTAGAAAGAAGAATGTATTACTCTTTCTCTTTTATAATATGTTATATATTAATTTTTACTCCGCTATAACAATGAATTTTGAATTACAGTGGGTCATACTGCTAATTATGCAGTTGTTGTTGCTCAATTGTACACAAAAAGTGAATGCAAAGGAATTCATCCGTTTATTGTTCAATTGAGAGATGAAGAAACTCACGAACCTCTTCCAGGTGATCTGTTTTATATAATATGCAATATTTATAATATACTACTCATTTTTTTTTATTCAATAGTGAACATTTTTTATTCAATTTATTTTTATACTATATATGATTTTATAATAAACAATTTATACTTTCAGGAATAAAAATTGGAGAAATTGGGACAAAATTAGGCATGAATGGAACCAACAATGGTTTTCTTGGTTTCGATAACTACAGGATACCAAGAACAAATATGTTAATGAAAAATTCTAAGGCAATTAAATATTTTGTTTTTTATTTATTTATTTATTTTTTTGTTATTTTGTTTTTCATTGAGAGTTTAAATTTTAAATATTATTTTTACAATTTATTCACTGAATATAAAAAATAAAATTTCAGAATACTACTACTTTTCGCGCTCTAAAATTAAAAATTCAAATTTACTGTTGATATTAAAAATGTTGTCTATAAATAAAACTATTGAAATTGAAATAAAATATATTTTATTTCCTTTTCAGAATTTATTAAAATTCTAGTTCTTTGATTGTTTATATTTTATTTATATTTTAATTATCTTTTAATAATAAATAATCACTATAAACCATGTTTTAATGTATTCATATAGTTTATGAGTAAATTATCATTTTAGATATTGGAAGACGGAACTTATGTAAAAGCCCCAAACTCTAAATTAACTTATGGAACCATGATGTTTGTTCGGGTCGTTTTAATTAAAGATGCCAGTAGATATTTGTCTAAAGCATGTACAATTGCAATTAGATATAGTGCTGTTCGAAAACAGGGTCAAATTAAAGCTGAGTAAGTTTGTTAATAATAATAAATATTATTATGGTAATTTTTGATAAATTAAAAAATATTTTTGAAATACAAAAATTTGAATTAAAAATAACAAATGCCTGAAGTTCTGTAGGTTTAAATAAAAGAAATTATTTTTTTTTACTTTGTACATTTTTTAAAAATTATAAATAATGAAGTACATTAAACATTTAATGAAATAGTAATTTATTTTTGAATACAGAAAGTAATATTTTATAATAAAATTTGAAGTTAAAAAAAGTAGTAAACAAATTTTTCATTCATTTGAACGTTCAGAACCAATACCAATTTCATTATAAACTATATGAATAAATAAATTTTAATTGATAAAAAAATTTTTTCAGAGGACCTGAAACTCAAATAATTGACTATGTTACGCAACAGTATAAACTGTTTCCATCACTAGCAACGTGTTTTGCTTTACTAATGGCTGCTGATTATATATGGGAATTGTACAACAATGTCAATGCCGAATTAGACCAAGGAGAATTGGAAAGGTTACCTGAGGTAAAAAAATCTCAAAATCAACTTTCATTCTCTCTAAATCCTAAAAACATATTAAGATATTAATTTTTGAAAAACAAATCTTAATTTCATTGTTTTTCTTTTTTTTTTAAACAAAAATACTAACAATTAAAACAAGTTAAACGTGTATCTTATCTATTCTTATATTTATATACGCTCTTATCCTGTAAAGACGATAATAAATAATTTTCCTTTCTTTTTTTTTATCAATAACAAATAATTTTCCTGATGATTAAAATTAAAAAATAAAATAATTATTTATTTATTTATTTATTTAGAATTACAGACGGGTGATAAACCCATTATAAAGTTTAAATTGTAGACAATAATTTTGTCATATAAAAAAAAACAACTAAAGATTAACATATTATGGCCAGAGTTATTATAAATTATTATTAAATTTTAAGAACGGTTTCACGCAGCTTAGCAGTAAACCTAAGCTAACTCCAAAAAAGTCCAATACATCACTATAAAAATTTCCCTCACTACATACATATTCTATATATACATATTCCCTCATACATATTCTATATATATAGATTTATATATATTATGTATAAAAAAACATCGAAACTTTTCAAAAAGTTTTATTTTACGAAATTTTAAATTATAAAAAGAATTGTTGGTTCCGGATTTTCAAAAAAATTACAAGATTTTTTAAATTCAAAGTCAAACTTATATAAAATTTTAACAAATTTTTGTTATTTTGAATATTCAATTTTCTGTAATTTCAAATATTTGTATTTTTATTAATCGAATTTAAAAAAAAAATGAAAAATTGACATATTGCGAAATTAACCGCAAAGACTAAAAAAATGGTTTAAAATTATATTTTTTAACTTAGAAAGTGTGAAAAAAAATTTGTGAACAAATATATTTTCCTTATGTAGATTACTAACGAAAGAAGTAGAGAATTTCATTTATAAAATTTGGAGTAATAGATAAAAATATTCGAAAAGTATTAATGATATCACAAGTAAAACCTCAAACTAATAAAACTGAATTTCCAAAAAAAAATATTTCCAAAAATTTGAATTTTAAACATGATTGAATTTAATAAATAAAACAAATGAATTTAAAAACATATGAATATGAATTTTTTTAATGCAATGTAGAAAATAATGAATAGAAACAAAAAAATTCTTTTACTTTGTACAATGAAATTTTTATATAATTGAATTTTCCAAGTTATTGATTTTAATTGATAATGAATTAATTTTATTTTGACACATGATTATTCTATAAAAATAATTAATTAAAACTTTCAATTTAAAGAATCTTATTAGATATTATTTTTTAGACGAATTTTCATTTTTCGAATTAACATTTAACAGAATTTATTTTTAAGCGTATTTTTGCATAAAAAAATTTTAGGTACTGAACTATTAGAAAAATTTTAGTTTAACCGAATTTTAATTCTCATTCATTGTAATAGGAATTTTTAAATGTCAAAATTCCTAATTCTCTGAATTTTTATTTGATATAATTCTTAAAACGACGAATCTTCATTTGTCCGAACTTGCAAATCACTGAATATACAATCAGCAGAAAAATTTCGGCGTGATTTTTCAAATTGACCAATCAGAAATCATCATGAAAATCATGATTTGTAAATTTTAAAAACAGCGCCGAAATCTTTTTGTCGATTATTTGTTTGACGATTTTCAATTTTGGATAAATGAAAATTCACCGTTTTAAGAATTCTATCAAATAACAATTCGTACAAATTAAGATTCAGTGAATTGGGAATTTCAGCATTTAAAAATTCGAAGCACTTAAAATTTTATTAAATGAATAATTGCTAAATTAAAATTCTGTTAAATTAGAATGCTTTTAAATAAAAAAGTTGTGTAATGAGAAATTCTGTCAAATGAAAATTTTTCCAAATAAAAGTTTAGTACCTAAAAATTCTGTAAAGTAAAAATTTGTCCAATTGAATTCTTTAAAATGAAAATTCTAAATTATGATTTTTATGAGATAATCATGCGTCCCTTTTTTAAATATGTTGAATTTGAAAAAATTTATATTTTTAAAAATGTTCCGGTTTAAATTTAAATTTACGATTTTTAGTTTCTTTAAATTACTCTCACAAGAATAATGTGTCTTGAAGTTTTGTTGCTGACAGTAATTGAATCAAATTCATTCAATGTAAATGTGTCAATTACATACTTTGAAATAATAAATAATAATATTTTTTAAAAAATCTCAGTAATTTGAGTATGCATAGCAATTGACACACTAATTCTATTAATTTAAATTGATTTATTAATAAATAATTATTAATTTTTTTTAGTTGCACGCTCTATCATGTTGTTTAAAAGCCGTGGCTACTGCAGACGCAACAGTTGCAGCAGAAAAATTGCGTATGTCTTGCGGTGGGCATGGATATATGGACGCCAGTAATTTGCCAACAACTTATGGATTATTAACTGCCATGTGTACTTACGAGGGAGAAAATACTGTTCTTCTTTTGCAAACAGCGAGATATTTAGTAAAGGCATGGAAACAGGCCGTTAATCACGAGTCCTTACCTCCCACTGTCAAATATCTCGAAGCAGCTGCCCGACGAGGTAAACGAAGACCTTGGAAAAATACACTTACTTGCATCATCATTGCTCATCAAGCTGTGGCTGCTGGGTAATTACATAATGATTCTCTATAATATTATATTACTTTGATAAATATTTTTGTCTTTTTATTTGATATAAGGTAAAAAAAAATTCATTCCTAGAGATGAGAAAGACTTGCAGGCCTCGGATTATATAACTTTTTCGACTTTTTTTCGACTTATTTTAATAAGATGCGACTTTTTCGACTTTTTTTTTTACATTTTTCACAAAATTTTAAAACAAAATACGTCTTTTTAGTATACAATTCAGATCTTCTTCAGATTTTCTTTCTTTTAATTATTGAACAAATTTTTAACAAAAATTCTTCTCTAAATTAATTATTTTTTAATAATTTTAATGAAATTCTTCACGAATTCAATTATCTTAAACTATTTTTTAATTAAAAATTTTCTGAAATCCAATAATTGTCTAAAATTAAAAAAAAAAACAAATCAGCAAATAAAGTACCAAAAATTTCAATTCAAAATCACTTAAAATTCAACTATTTTCAAAAATTTCAATTTAAAACCTTCTAAATTTTAATTATTTCTATAATTTTCCATCTAAAACTCTTTGAAAAATAATTTCAACTAAATATAACTCTTCCGAAATTCAATTACTTTTAATGATTTTTATAATATTCTTCGAAATTTTAATTCTGTAAAATTTAATTATTGTCTGTAATTTAACAAACAAACTAACTCTTCAAAAATTCTATTATTTTTAATAATTTGTATATTTCTTCAAAAATTCAATTATTTAAAAAAATTTTAAACATAAACTCTAAAATTGAATTATCAGAAATTAAAAAAATAAAAAACTACAGCAGTTTAAATTTGCAGAAAATTTATTTCAAATCTAAAATTTTTTGCAATTCAATTATTTAAAAAAAATTTAATTTAAAAATCTGTAATACTTAATTATTTTCCGACAATTTTTTAACCATTAAAACTAAAAAGTATGCCAAAATTTTAAATTGCTTAAATTGGACTTCAAAAAAAATTTTAAAATGGAACTTTATTCCAAATAAATTTTTTGAAAATATTCTTATATAGAATTATTCTTCTTAAGGAATTAATACAATGAATGTAATGTCTAATAGCATTAGTTATTTAAAGTAAAATATTTATTAATTAATTATTAAATTTAATTAAAATAAAAAAATTGACTTTTTCGATTTTTTTTAGAATGTAAATCGACAAAAACGACTTTTTTTGTACCTCAAAGTCGATCCGAGGCCTAGACTTTTCACTTGAAACATGGAGAAAAAAAATGCCTCAAAAAAATTTCTAAAGGGAGAAATAATATTTTCCTTGTCCTCTATATTTACAATATAAATAAAAATCAGTTAAGAGGAGGCACCATCCCTAATTTTGGCATCATTTGGGTCCTAAAAACATATAAGATATTCAAAAAAAATTAAATTTTAAGTTTTGATCATTTTAGAAATTAAAGTCTTAAAAAAATTAATATTTTAAATATCTATCACACAATTTTGACTATTTTTCATCGATAATTTTTTTCTACGCTTTTTTAATGATTCTTCAGAATCACTCGTATGGATTTTCAAAAATATTAATTATTTCAAAAAATAAAAATTCTAAAATGATCAAAAATTTAAATTTTCTTTTTTTTGACCACCTTATATGTTTTTAGGACCCAAATGATGCAAGAAAAAAAATATAACCTCGTTTAATAATTTAAATTTAAGTGGGTCAAAATTGGGGGTGGTGCCTCCCCTTAATGAAAAATAATTGCAATAATTATTTTCGATAATAATTCTTTTTCTTTTAATTAGTCTTTGCCCGTATATTTTTCAATAAATAAATAATATTGTTGAACAGAAAAATTCAACTAGCTGTTGAGAATATGGAAAGGCGTATCAAAAGTGGAATGTCACAGGAAGATGCTTGGAACGCAACAAGCATCGAATTGTCTCAAGCAGCAGAATCGCATTGTCGTGTTTTTCTAGTGGAAACTTATATCAATGGTGTCAAGAGGCTGACATCGGTTTCCAAAAATCTTCATCAGGTTTTACTGCAAATTTGTGAAATATATTCAATTTACTGGGTTCTTCAAAGAGTTGGAGATTTCCTGAGAGTGAGTTGTAATTTGTTTCCATATAGTTTTAGATACGCACGCATGAATATATTAAAGCTTTAAAAAATTCAGTATCAAGAATTTTTATTTCACAAAATTTCATTAGGTAAAATGTTTATGTTTTTGAATTATAGAAATTCAGAATTTCTATTTTAACAAATTCTGATATTTATTATAGAATTTTTAATTCTTGAACAGAATTTTCATAAAACAAAATAATATATCTATTTATTGGAATTTTGTTTAAAATTTGAATTTTTGTTAGAATTTCCATTTCACTGAATTTTTATTTGTTCGAATTGTCATTTGAATACAATTCTTAAAACGCCAAATTTTCATTTGTCAAAATAAACATCCGACAGAAAAATATCGGAGGGAATTTTAAAATTGATCAATCATAATTTTCTTAATAATTTCTAATTGGTTAATTTGAAAACTAACCAATCAGAAATGTAAATAAAATTCTAATGGAAATTCCGCGTTTTAAGAATTCTATTCAATTGATTATTCATGGAAATGAAAATTCAGACAAATGAAGATTCGTAAAAAATAGAAATTTTAACATTTAAAAACTCTACTCATTCAAAATTCTATTCAATGAAAATTTGATTAAACTAGAATTTTTTAAAATTGGTATGAATGAAAATTTTGCTAAAATTAATGTTCTATTAATGGTATTTTGTTTTATGAAATTTCGGTTAAAATTTAAATTCTAAATAAAAATTCTATTAAATGATTATTTAGTGAACTATACAGAATTTGGTAAAAAAAAAAAAAATTCTCTCAAATGAAGATATGAGTATTCGTTTAGTTAGATAATAATCCCATTAAATATTAATTCGAAAAAATAATAAGCCGTCTAAAAAAAATTCTATCTAATAAGTTTCTGTCAAGTAAAAATTTTAATTAGCAGTTCTATTGCACTAATTCTAGAGTAATTAAACTTAGAACTTCAGAACTTATTTTTGCGTCCCTAGTAAAACAGCGTAGATGTGGTATTTTTAATTTTAGAAAAATATATTTATCTTTTCATTTTCTTTATTTCATGCGATATTTTTAGCTCTAAAAGGTAGTTTTATTTTTCCACTATAAACTTTTATTTAAACAAACTATAAATAATATGTATTATTTACCTCAAGTTTTATCATTATTTGCAGTTTTCCTGTCTCAATACTCAAGATGTACCTGTACTTCAAAAACGACTTGAAGAATTATTATCCTTAGTCCGTCCTAACGCCGTCGGTATTGTTGATGGATTTGATATTCGTGATGAAATTTTAGGTTCCGCTTTAGGCGCTTATGATGGAAATGTGTATCAACATCTTTTTGATGAAGCTATGAAAAGTCCACTTAATCAAAAGAGCGTCAACGAATCATATCACAAGTATTTGAAACCATTTATGAAAAGCAATTTATAAATAGAATACGATAGAATAATAATATGAGACGTCAATTATATTTTTATAGAAATATTTTAATTAGCAATTTTCTAGGAACTAAAAATAGACGGGGGAAAAAAAGTAATGTACCCCTCAAATTGAATATTGAATCCAAAGATTGTAAATTATATAGTATTTGGCGCAAAATTTATTTTAAAATACATATTTTGATTAAAAATTATTCAAAATTAAATATGAAATATTTATGGTTCAATTGTAAAGAATTTATTCTTTTTAAATGATGTTGTTATATATAGAAAATTTATTACAACGTTTGTGTGATATCGTGGGACAATAATGTATAGTTGTAGATATTGTGTTTAAAAAATTTATAAACGCACAATTTCTATTTTCTTTTTATAATGCCCTTCAAATGTATTAAACATTTTGAATTTATAAATTACTAAGTAATTAATTAGTAAAATATTAACATTTTTAATGAATATATAATTTGTAATTTGTAATTTAAGGATTGAAAATTAAATAAATATTATTTTTATACGGGTATGGAAAAAACGCGGAGACTTGGGTGTAAAATATAACATTATAATATTTAATTATTTTAGAGTTTTTTAACGCATTACATGAGTAACTTTGTAAAAATGAAACATTTTTATACAAGTATTTGTTTATGTTTATGATATTATATGAGATTATTATTATCAGTGCTCAATTTTTTTTACTATCAATAATGTTAATTTATGTTGTTTATTTCAAATATAAATATAAACTGTCTTTATATTATCAATTTTTTTGAGATTTTCTTTATTTCACAATCCAACGCTTTCTTCTTGTTGTTTCCTTATTGTTCTTTTTTTCAGTTTTCTCACTCCTTGTTAAAGAAAAATTTCATAAGATAATAAATAGTTCACAAATTTATACATATATACCTATTATAATAATATAAAACTAAAATTTAATAACATATTTTTGAATAGTTGATTTCAATTTTTATTTCAAATTAAAACAATTCAAAATTGCGGACCCTGAATGTCAAAATAAATTTTTTATTTTAACGAATTTTCTAAAAATTTGATACTTTTAGAATTTTAGGTTCACTGAATTCAAATTTTATCATATAGGTACAATTCAAAACATTAAAAACATTCAAAATATGAAGATATTTTTTAGTCTGAGAAAAATTTGTAGTAATTTGTCATAATAATTTTGAATTTTAGAAGAACTATTTCGCTCAAAATATTTAAAAGCAAAGTGAAAATAAGAATTACCCAAAAAAATTTTGTCACATTTTGAGTTTAACTTTGAATTCACTTTAATTCCTAAATCATAATAGGAATTTTAATAAAAATCCGTTAATTAAATTTTTTTTCATTTTTTATCATAAGTAATGAAAAAATTGTAATAACTTAATACAAAAAAAACCTAAAGTATTAACTTTTAAAAGAAAAGAAAAATTGTGTTATTGATGAAAATTTAATTTTTCGTTTATGTATTAAAAAAATATATTACTATATACGATTATTAGAAAACATATTGAATTTATTATTATTATTTATTTACAAAAAGAAATCAAGATACTTGGATAAAAAGTACTTGTCAAATTTTTATAGAGCGTAATATTAATGAATTAAAATGATAAAATAAATAGAAAGAAGCACTGAAAGAAATCAAAGCTTTAATTTAAAAATGAACTTTGTTTTATTTCACATGTATTTGTTGAATGTGTGGAGACTCAATTTAATTAATGAAAACCAAATAATACATATATATATATAGTATGTAAAATTAGTGTATAAGTAAATATCTGATTAAATATAATTTTTAATTATATATACACAATACAATCTACTTAATATTTAATAATTAACCAATAATTTTTACAAGCTGAAATTACAAATACAATAATTAAAATCTTAACAAATGCAAGAAATATTAAGTTTTTTCTTAACTCCAATATTGCATTTAAAATTGTACGCAAATAAAACAAAACTTTATAGAAAAGAAATGTTACAGCATTTTCTTTTGTAATAATAAAATCATGCATAAATGTAAATGGAGAGAAATTTTTTAACATGACGTACTCTAATGTAATTGATTGAAATACATTAAAATTTTCATATTCTTCATTTACAAATTCATTTAACTATTTTTTACATTATGCTTAAAAAAACATTTCAATTTATTATAAAAATCAATAAAATTGAATTGAACTTTTTAAATGCAAAACAGTATATTATTAATTTAAAAAAAAAATTGAAATTTTAATTTATGTCAAAAAACAGAAATTTTTTATTTTCAAATTTAAATTCTTCAAAATTTTAAAAATGTGTACAACTAAAAATTATTAATGTCTCAATCAACGACATTAAAATTTTTCACACGTCCTTTAAAGGTGAATTAAAAATAAAATTCAGAATAATTGCAAGCATTTTAAAAAGAGATAAATATAATATGAGAATAAAAAATGAAGACACATAAAAATTTGATAAGAATTATTCAAATACGTCTGTCTTATTCGGTACAGTGTTTATTTACAGAATAGGAGCGACGACATTCAATATTAATCGTTACCATACTAATTGTAGTGCAATTATTATTAATTTCTGTTAATTAATAATAACGTGTCATTTACTGTACGCGTCCGCGAGAGCGACGAGGCAATTATTGTTATTTTTCTTATCAGTTTTATCTCGATTTTTTGTTTGTTCATTGAAAATTGTACATAATATATCAATATTTTTCTCCTTCTCTTATCGAAAAGACTTGAGATTCCAAGGTGAGGTCGCCTCGACGTATTCGTGGTCGAATAAATTACATACACATAAATGTATTATAAATATATACATTTCTTTTTAGAATTGTGTATCTATCAAGATGGATTGTATATAAATATGAACACATTTATGTATAATTGCAGTATACAAGTAGACGCTAGAAAAAACGATACTTACACTTAAAAAAGTAACAATTGTTAATCGTTATTTTTATCATTAAATTATTAATCGTACTCGCATTAAAATGATTCATATTTATTCATTCGTCCACGCTTGGCCTACACAACAACACTGTTCGCGATTGATAGACACATCTCACCGTCATGACTGCTTTTTTTATTATTATTATTTTGGCGCCTTTTTTAAATTCATCTCCACAAGATTTTAAAAATTCTCATCCTCAATATAATAATAATAATAATAATAATAATAATAATAATAATAATAATAATAATTATTATAGTTTACAATTACTACCATGATTAATATTTTTTCCCCTTAAAACATAGATGGAGCGTCTTTTCAATTAAATTTCTTGACAAAATTCACATACACTAACAGACACACACGCATACATACAAATGTTATCTCTTCTTAACTGAAAAGATAACATGTAGATCTCATTTTGTCATTTCATTATTATTTTTTTTTATTGAGCTTTTCTAACGAAAGCGAGAATCACACCTTAAATTCGTACCAAATACAAAAAATTACAATTCATCAATGACAATAAATAAAATATTAAAAAAACAGAATTTTACATCCTTATGCGACGATTTTTTTTGACATTTAAAAAAAAAGAATAAAAAATCGTTATCTTTTCGCTTTCTTTGAAGTAACTAATTCAACATTATAGAATAGAATCTTTTTTTTCTATTAGAAAAAAACAATGTTAAAAAGTAAATTAATACAGTTACAGTATTTAAAATAATTATTGTAATCTATTATACAATTATTTAATAGTACATTTAAAAAAAAATGTGAAAAATTTTATTTCGAAGAAAGAAAAGACAACGAGGAGCTTTAAAAGAAAAATAGAATTCAATAAATTACATAATTAATATCTGATCGAATGTAATATAACAATCGTCAATTGAAAATTCATTATCTTCGCTAAATAATTCTAATTGATATTATTATAATATTCACTTAACAAATTTATGAAGAAAGAAATATTTGCATTTACTTCATTTTTTTTCTTCTCACGTCGTATATAATTTTTCCTTATTTTTTGTCGTGTTTTCGTTTTTACGATTTCCATTTTTTTTATAAATAAGTTAAAGCGCATATTCACTCTATGTGATTAAAAGCGAGTGTGTCATTTCTTGCTTACACTGGTATAAAAATGCATTTTACTTAAAAATCATGTCCAGTTAATTTCTTAAGTAAGAAAATCTGGCCTTTTTTAAAAACCACAGGCAACAGCAATTACATGTAATTGTTTTTTGCAAATGTAAGTATATAGTGAAAGAGACTACGAATTATTGTTGAATTTAAAATACTTTGTACAAAAATTCATCATGGACCCAACGGAAGTTAACCAATAATATGGCGTTCTTCTTCTATATTCAATTCCGGATTTATGTAAAGATACGACGATTTTTATTTTTTTTTTTTTTGGCAGGAATGTCAAAAAACTGATAAGATGATTTTTTCACAAATATTTCAATTTAAATATTAATAATGCAAATTCTTTTTTTTTTTGAGATTCAAATTTTTCCAACAATTTTTCACGATATGCTTTTTTTTCAGTTACGCATTTTTTCATATACTGTATTACAATATTGATTTTTATTGCAATTCCTTAAAAAGCTATTATTGTATACATATGAAAGTAAAAATAATCTCAGAATATTTTAATAAGTTTTAAACATTTATTTTGCTAAGCAAAGAAGCTGCTCAATAAAATCAGTGATTTTCAATTTTCTAATTGTTTTTAAATTCTTTTTTTTCAGAGAATATTTTGTTGAAACAACGAATCATTCTAAAATTTGATACTAATTTTTTTTTTTCTGAAATCCATGTTTGCAATAATTTCCCCTCTCTTTTTTATCGTATAGAAGAAAGAGGGTTTATCATTATAACAAAATGGAAAATAATTTTCCTTTTTTTCTAAATTACTTGTTAAATTATATTTTCAAAATGATTTACAAAACTCGATTTTGAAATAATTTTTCAGAGATTATTTTAAACGAAAAAGAAATGGAATGTTTAAACAGAAAAAAAACAACATTCAAACATTTTCTGTTAGAATTAATTCCGCTCCTTTTCAGTCAAAATTCGAACTTTTTTTTAAAAAAAAAGAATAGAAAGAGTCGATTTTATAAAAAAAAAAAAAAATTAACAAAATATGTGTAACAAAAAGTGTTTTTTTTTACAACGTACGACAAAGACGACGACAATAGTGATTGATGATGAGATTGATGATCATGATACACTAATATGATAAGAGTGTTTTAAATGACAATATAATGATAGAGATGAAAAGGTTGTTCGTATATTCATGTTCACAATTAGCGAATAAGGCGGACTCGTGAAATGTTCATACCAAATTGTTGTTCCTTACGGTTAGTATACATGGCAGTATCGGCTTGATATCTTTTTTTTTCAACGTGTCGTTCTATCGCATTCGCAGTGTTTCTGCGTCCAAATAAAGAAAAACTCCGCGTTTCACGCAGAGGGATCAACATTATAAATAATATTATTAATAATAATAAGACTTGGGTTTTCAGTTGCCTTTCTCTGTAGATTCGGAGAGTTTAGAAAAATAGTATGACGTCTAGCGGAAGGAAGGACAAGAATATTTTTTTGGGTGGGAGAAGATGAAGAATAAGAATAAGAAGCAGTCGGTGTAAAATAACGACACAAAATCGACCGAGTCAGTAATAAATAATAGCACTCCGCGATCCAAAAATAATAATAATAAATATACCGGACGAGACAGAATCACGGAATGGATATAACTTTTGTTCCTTTAAATAATAATATATATGGCAAACTCATGTCAGTCAGTCAAGACCCGTGTGCGTTATTTCGGGGCATAACAATGTAGCTTCCTTTCGCCCCAAATCTACAGCAATTTCAACGCAATATATATATAGTTTAATCTCAAATCTCCCCCGAAACGTGTCTCTTAATTTAAATATTACTGCCACTAGACGCAATTGCATTACGCGATTTCACATCGAGGTAGAAGGAGGGACGAATTCGATTTGTCATATACGAAAAAGACTTTTTCTTTTTTTTTTCTTTCCATTCACACAGAGACTCTTTGATTCTTCTCTATTCTTTTATATTTCACCTCGTTGCCGAGTTGCTTTTCGAAAATATTGTACACCTCCAAATGTATATACTTGGTCGATTCGTGACAAAAAAAGGAAAAAAAAGAAACAATCGATTCACCGCCCTATATTTACAAGACGAATCGACGACGAGTCTGCAATGTATAAAAAAACACGAGATAAATATCTATCTCTCAAGAAGCAACAACAACAACTAGATTGGGAACGACGCCTCGATTTATCAACAATCTTTCCGATCTTCTTCTTCTTTTGCCAAAAAAAAAACGAGAGATCGCTAATCCACCTGATACTTTATTTCATTTATAAAATTGTTTTTCCTTCTTTTCCAATTAATAATCTCAATTATTATAGAAAATTTTGATTTTCTTTTTAATATTTAGAAATGGAGTTTTTTAAAAAAAGTATACAGGTTATTTACTTTTTTTTGTTTGTTTTCGAGTTTCGTCGTAACGTTCCAAAGAATCGACGAAGCATTTCACACTCGGCTTCGATGAATAGAGAGGAGAGAGTCATGTATTGTAAAAAAAATGTGAAACGAATCAATGAAGGATCCGTGAATCGTCCCTTCTTCTACCGAACAAGATGGCCAACATAAATCGACCACGATATATATATATACCAAAGTTCTTCGATTCTATACACAGACGTGTGTGTGTGTGTGTTTATGAGGACACTCTACATAAATGCATCTGAAATTTGTTCATCTTTGTCAATAAATTGTTGACAATGCCTGATTTGAACGAGCGTCAAATATTTTGCACTCTAAAAATTCTTCGGTTTTTTTTTTGTTTTATCGAAAAATGAAAATATAATGAAATCTGACCGTGTCCAGCGGTCGTCGAATTTAAAAGTTCGACTTCCATTTACAAGGACACTGAAATCACACTGGCGGAACTTGAGGAAGAAATATGAAAGATTATTGGCTGACGAATTAAAAGATTCGAGGCCTAATATTCGATCATTCGGTTGAAAAGAGAGAATTACAAATTGATAGTGATTGAGCGCAAGAGAGGGAGAGAGAGAAAGAGAGTGCTTTTGACAAAAGATTGCGTGACGCTCGTCCTTTCCTGCAGGCTATTGATGGCTCACAGGACTTTTGCTCACTTGCTGATCAAATAGTGTTCTCCAGCTGCGATCCACGTATTATTATTATTTTTTTTTTTTAAATCGATTTGGTCGATCAGTGTCGGTCTTGAGGTGATTTCGTGGGGCGCAAGGACTTGCCGGTGGCCTGAGCTAAAGAGCCTCAAGCGTAAAATTCTCGATTGTGGTGTGGTGCCCCAGGTTTTGGATATGATTGCGTTGCCGGTGATCTCCTCGGTTCGTCCAAAGCATATGAGCCCTCGTCCTTCTTGCGCATCCTGTACACGATGAACATCACCACCAAAATTGCGCACAGTAGTCCAACAACTGCGCCACCAATTACGGCTGAAATTTTATTTTCAATTATTAAGTAAATTATATATTTTTATTTCTATATTTTTAATATTTACAATTTAATTAAAATTATTTGATCCGTTGGAGCAAGATTCTGTAAGTTGTTTTTGAAAATAAAAGAAAAACGTAGAGCTTTTTTAATAAAGACTTTTGTCTTATTTTTATGTGTTTTTTTTGTCTTTTTATTTTCAAAAAACGTACACAATCTTGTTCCAACGGATGAATTTTAATACCTTATCTTTTATCAACAATGAAGAGCGATCAAATTTTATACGAACATATTTATATCAAAAACGCGGTCTGAAGTTTTTCTTATTGTTTTAAATCGAGTAATAAAAATAACTGAATTTACAAAATAATTTTATTTAAAAACAGTTTACTTTTTAAAATAATTTCTACATAATTTCCTGATGTTCATCTCTTTAATTAAAGTTAAAAAAAATGAATTTCATTAAAAAATAATAAATAAAATATACCTAATAATTCTTTTTGATTTAAGAATGTTCAATTTTTTGTAGTTATTTCTAATATAAAAAATAAAAATATAAAAGATTATGTAGGACATGTATTTTGTAAACATATTGAATTGAATTGAAGTATGTTTTACGTTAATTTAAAAATAAATATCTAAATCTTCGAAAGCAGAGAAAAATAAAAAAAAAAATAATAATTTCACATGACTTTGACATAACCGTCACAAAGTTTGGCTTTTAAATGATAATTACTATTCATATTGTTAGTAATCATTACTATGTATATGTGTTTACTTCTAAACAATTTTTTTAATCACAGTTTTTTTTAAGGAAATAATTAAATATTTATAAATATTTAATTATTTATTGTATATTAAAAACAATTTTTAAAAAATGTAGTATTTAAATATTATTAACAAATTTTAAACTCTGTGCAAAGAATTCAAATTATTTATTTTGTATTTTTATGTTTATTTATATTGCTTGAAATATCTTTTTTCGCGCATAAAAAAGGTAAAAAATTCTTATCAGCGACTGCTTTAAAACAGTCACTTCGGTGACTTTGCACTTTAAGAAAAATATATCTCTTTCTGAACTCATTTTCAATTTTTATAGGTACTTTCATTGTAGATATGTCGTTTTTATTACATATATATATATATATTTTTTTTTAATTCAAGAAAAACTGAGCATATTTCTTGTAGAACATTATTTTTGAGATCTGCTAATAAAAACGAAGAAAAATATGTTTCAATAAACGTTTCTTCACCTTTGAAAATTTTAATTTAAAAATATTCATAAGTTTTGTAATTCTTATCTCGAATTAAAAAGTAAGATACTTGTTTCCTTATTTCATATATAAAATAGTGAAATAAATAAATCGTGAACAGAAAAAAATTAATCTTAACTAAAGGACTGCAATTATTTAAATAAACTTGATTTAAATGAAAGTATCATTTACATTTAAATCATGATTTAGATGAAAGAGTCTTTAATATTAAATTTTTTTAAATTTATATTTTAATATATTTTTCTCATTCAATTTTGTATATTCTAAATTTTTATGTTAAAACTATTATAACCTTAATAGGATATCTAAATACGTATCGATTGAATTATTTGAGAAATTCTAATATAAATTATTATTACAAAGTTATTGACGTTTCAAAAATCAAAATATTTCTTTTTGGATAATTTTAGTTTAAATTTTCTATATAAGTTCTAATATATTTTTTAAAAAAAGTTATAGTTATTCAAACTTTATTACGGAATTATCGACTTTTTAAAAATCATCAATTATTTTAAAAAATGTGAATTGTGGTACAGTTTTAATTTTTCACTCAAAAATATTATTTTCTTTGATAAAAATATAAATATTTTCTGATACTTGTATTATTAAATTTTATCGTTTAAGTATTTATTAAAAAACAAATTATTTAAAAATAAACTTTTGAAAAATGTTACATAAGTAAAAATAAATTTGAATTATTTTTAAATTATTTATTTTAAAAAAAATCGGATTTTTTAGAAGCCCAGCTTAACTGGTACTATTTTATATTGCTTCATATATAAAATTTTTTAAAAAAATTGAATTTAAAAAAATACAATTTTTTAAAAATATCTTACCAGCGAGTACTCCTGGTTGCGTGAAGAAGGAACTGGCTCGGTCCACTGTTTTAGGGTTCATATGAACACCGATGTCATGTGAGTCTTCCATGTCTTCGTCAATGTCAGGTGGCGAGTCGAAATTATCAACTGCGTTGTCCGTTTTAGGCACAGTATCCGGAATATTCTGTAACGGGAAATTAAATCAATAACACAATTGAACTTACAAAAATTTGCATGTAACTTGATAGAATTTTTAATTATTTTTTACTAAAAATTTTAGTAAAAAAAATAAATAAAAATTACTTTTAAGAAACTAGTACAATAATTTTACTAAAAAATTAGTAAAAAAAATTACTCTAAAGAAAATAGTACAATAATTTTACTAAAAATTGGTAAAAATTCTTACTAGTTTAAATTAGAATTTTGACTGTATTTTTTTTTTTTTTTTTTTTGCATAAAACTTCTTATTTCTTCCAGACGAAATTTTTTTAAAACATTTTTTTTCTATTGTGAAACTAGTGGATGATTTGAAATTTCTATTATGAATCTATCTCAAAATAAAAAATATAACATCATTGTAAGTAATGTACAGTTTAGTAAAAATATTTTTACTCGAATTTCATTGCTGGAAATATATAATATTATAATATTAAAATTCAACTCACCTGCTTTGTCTTAGGAGATATGTTTTCATCAATGTGTGGTACACTAGGTTCTGGTACTTTTTTAGGTGTCGTCTCTAGTGTATTATGTTGATTAAAATCTGAAAATAAAATACATCAATATTCATACTACAATAAAATATATATTTTCATTTTTTTTAATTATTTTGATACTCTGAACTGTGAAACAGGAATTTCGGTAATTCATGAGAAATCTCACGTATGCGTTTGAAATGAAAGATATTTAATCAATAAAATACTTTGTCACAAATGAAGTAGGTGCACTAATAATAATAATAATAATAATTATTATTATTATTTTTATTAAAAGGAGTGAAAAAATGTTATTTAATGAAAGAATTTTTTTTCAGAATGTTGAGTACATAGAAATATGTGTGAGCATGTGGAGATATTATTGCGGAGAGTATAAAGGGAAAGGGGGCAATGCATTCGGAATTCTATGCGTTTTCCAATATATTCCGCGTTTAGCTGTATGTGCGGTCATGAAAGCCGAAATGAATTTCCAATGACCATGACTCAAAATGACGTACGACTGGTTGCCATGCATCCATACGGAGTTGGTTTTTTTCAATTTTCGGAAATGCCATAAATACGTCTAACTATATATGTAAACACATTGCACATTGGTTTCCTCGTCTACAACTCGTCCATTCTATCGGTTATATCCAGAAGTTGTCATTCTGTCATCGTTTGAAAGCCCCTCTCTTTCTCTCGCCTATATTCCGTATCACGCTCATATTTTTACAGGCAAAATGTTTTTCATATGAGTTTTTTTTACGCTTCGACGTTTCTCTCGCTTAAAAAGAAGTCAGTGGATACGATTTTTCATCCCGCGCGCCGCTTATATGATTTCAAAAAATACAATGGTTATACGGTTAACGGTCAGTGCTTGCAGAGAATATGAGTGAAATTTATACTAGATATTTTATATCTAGAACCCCTTGTAAAAATGGTTTACCTTCTCAGGCGTGTAAAGATCAAATGATTTTTTCCCCTGTTTGATAAATATATTTTTCTCAACGGAAATGTATATTTTTTTTACCCAAATTACTCAACTTATTTGAAACAAATTTATTTTATTTAATCCAAATTAAAATTTGACATCAATTATTCTTCAAAAATTTACAGATTTCAAAAATTATAATTAATCACAATTTTCTTGATAAATTTTGATTAATTTTTAATTTCTTGCTGAAATATTTCCGTCTAGTATGAAAATTTGATTAAATATTCGGTTACATGAAATTTGGATAATTCAAGATTTTGTAAAATGAAAATTAACATATTAATATATCTGACATTGAAAAAAAATGTATTTAATTCAAATAATCGATTATACTTGATTATTGTGAAAAAAATATTTATTTGTGTTGAATCATTATTATTTGAGTTGGTATTTGTTTCAAATACAAAAATTATTTGTTTAAAAACAGTTAATTTAATTCAAATAAAAATTATTTGATAGAAAAATATATTTATTTGATAATAGTTAAGTAACCGATTATTTGAATCAAATACATTTTTTTTCAGTAATTTCAATTGCTGTAATATGAAAATTCAATGAAATGATTATTTTTTCAAATAATAATTTGGTTAAGATAATTATTCTATTCTATTAGATTTGTTTAAATTAAAATTATGTTGAATGAAAATGTATTTGAATTAAGTTGAATAAAAAATCTGTTAAATACAAATTCAGTTAAATTGAAAATTTCTTTAATTAGACCTATTAATTAGGATCTGTTAAATGATTATTATTTTTTTTAACGTTTCGATTTTTTTCTTTTAGCTTAAAAATTGCAATTTTTATAAAAAATAACTTATTTTATTCAGTGAATTATTCTCAACAATCATAAACTTATTTAAATTTTTAAAAGTATGTTGTTAAAAAATTATAAACAATAATAATTTTATTTATTTAATAATTTTTTAACAATATACTTTCAATAAATGAAAAAAGTTTACGATTGTCGAGAATGGTTTACTGAATATAAAATAAGCTATTGTTTATAAAAATTGTACAAAAATTGCAATTTTTAAGCTAAATGTAAAAAATCAAAACTTAAAAAAAAATTAATATTATTATTATTATTATTATTATTCAACCTTAATAAATTCAGGTATTACATAAACTATAATTTGACAATTGTTTATTATTATGTGAGAAATTTTCAATCTTCCGTCAAATCCAACTTTTAATCACTGAAAATGATATAATAAAATTACACCCACTTTTACTGAAGAACTATTTTTAAAAAAGCAACATTGGAATTTGATATAAATCGGGGAATTGCGTTAAAATAAGTCGACGTAAAATTCAAATTTCAAGATCAGAAATTTTTTGTAAATGATAAATAATTTTTAAATTAAAATACAATAAAAATAAAAATGTTACCGTGACCACCGTCGTCACCATCTTCGTCGTCAGGCCCAAGGCCACTTCCTGATGCCTCAAGATCGTCGCGAACTTCACCACCCCCTCGACCGGAACCTTCCAAGGCTTCCTGGTCGTCTAGATAAAGATCATCTATGTAAGGCGAATTCCCCGCTGATCTATCACTTGTCGTCTGTTCCTTCTGTAAATTCAAAAAATAGACTTTAAAATAAAAAAAAAACTTTTTATACATAATTAACAATATTAAATTTTTTAATTACTTTTCTTATTATTAATTATAATTAAATAAAAATTATATTTATAATTAACATAACGAGTCTTTTCAAAATCATCACTTTATTAAAAAGAAGGAAAAAGATTAATTAAGACGGGCGATGATTTGATAACTCATTAGTGTTTTTTTTTCTGCTTGAAATAGAAATGAATATGAGGCGGAAGTTATAATAAAAATTGCACATGAACATTTACTATCCTGTTCGTTATAATAGAAGATGGAATTTTTTTCTTTTCTTTTTGCAGTGAATAAACACAATAACAAATCTACTGAAGAGAATTTCCAATTGATTTTTCAAGCGTGAAATTTGTTTTCCATTCATATAGATGCAAAGCGGAAGAAGAAACGTTGTTCTAGAGTTTCTGCACTTCCTCGAGGTGGTTCCCGAGGATGCAATGTCGAGGTAATGTGCGATAAACTCAAGTAGGACGAACGACCGGAAGCAGAAAGTACCTACTCTATGTGTGTGTGTGTACCTCTCGATGTTCGAGAATTTTGGTCACTTTGAGGCAAATAACTTTTCTCGTTAACGCCACAACTAACACACATTTCACACAAGTTTTGCAGAAATGCTTTTCAAAAAATTTACGGAAATCGTTGTAAAAAAATTTTCTTTTTTATATAAAAAAAAAAAATTATGTATAATTTATATCGAATCAAAAATTGAACACTAAATAAACAAAATACTGAAAAATTAATTAATATTTTATTATTATTATTATTATTATTAAAGAAGAACCCTCGATTTTGGAATTGACAGACAGTTTTTGATGAAACTTGGCAACATTGGTAGATATTGGTTTAAAAAGATGTAGTTAAATTTTTAGAGGTCGAGGTTTACTATGACAAAAGTTATAAACACTTTTATTTTTTCACATTTTACACGGTGTCTTTTCGGAAAATGCACTTTCATCATCTTTAAAATTTAATTGTAGGAAATATGACAGACAGGTATTAATATAACTTATTGCAATTAAAGTTAAATAACTTTCAAAAAAATAATCAGAAAAAATAATCAGACATCACCTATGAGACATAAAATTAATTATTTTATATAAAAATAAATTTTCACAAAACAATTATTCCGATAAGGTTTTCAGATGAATTATTCGTCTGCCTTCACTCTGTTCACTGTTTTCATTTTTAAGGTTAGATTCTTTATTATTCCTAATACCATAAACATCGCGAAGGTTTTTTCCCACCTCCTGCAGCCTACAGCGGTTCTTATATAAACTTTTCGGTTAACTTTTTTACCCTTCCAATAATAATTTTTTGATGGTTTCACAGAATTTTCTTCTAATAAATTTAATTCCAACATGATAATCAAAACATTTGCAGACGACACGAAGCAAAACGGAGGAGAAACAATTAAACAAATACAATGTTGCCAAAATGCCAAGCATTGCGTTACCCAGTACTGATTGGTTCAAATGAAAACTTAAATAGTTGTTGTTTTGACTAACTATGGAGGGAGGGTTCTTCCTTAAATAATTATAATTAATTAATAAAAAAATTAACACAATTTCAAACACAAGTTACATAAAATTTAATTCACAGTTTTTTTATTAATTAACTAATAATTTTTTTTTTTTAATTTACCTGATGCAGTAGTTAAGATATGAAATTCAAAATTAAAATATTTAATTTACTCACATCATAAATTTAGACATACATATTATAAAGGGCTTAGCGTAATAAGCATGAAAAATCTGCATCCGCTCGAATTTAAGAGCTGAAATTAATGTCACAAATAAAATAAATTTTTTTTGTCTCATTATATAGAGTTAGTACATTAAAATTTTCACGGAAAATTTTCTTAAATGTATTCTTTTTAAAAATAGTTTAAAAAAAATTAATATGGTTCTACATGGTAAAAAAATTTCAAACATTGTTGGCCCATCTTTCCGATTTAAGGATTTAAGTACATAATGTTTAAAAAATTTTTTTAAATAATTGATTTTAATTAAAATTATTGTATTATTATAATAATTATTTCATATTTTGTGGTTTTCCTTCAATTTTACATCCAGAGAAATCTTTTATTTGCATTTATTTGAGATAAATAAAATTTTTATTCAAAATTTTTTATTTTGCTCTGAGACGAATGTATAATTTCTCTGAGTGTAGTAAACAATCTTTTTAATTCTGAAAATATCTATATTAAAGTTACGTTACTTAAATTTTTCCACATACTTAAAATATTATTTAAAATGTCCATCCTTGAGCTAGGTTAATGCTTGGTTGATATAGGACAAATTATATAAAGTACTATAATATATAGATATACCTATAAATATTTTTATAAATTCTTTATTGAATAGAGATCATGTGGTTTTATTTTAAGAAAAATAATAAACATTCATATTGTAAAAGAAATTTTAGAGACGATAACTAAAATGCCAAAGTTATTTATTCATTAAGATTATTTTTACTTTGACTTTTATAAATATATAAATCTTGGATATGCTTTTAAAAAATAATGGCTTTTATTTTGTTCAGAAAAAGATTCTCCACAGAAATGTCTTCTATAAATAATAGAAAACGGAATAAAAATAAAAACTTAATAAATAAATGTGACACTGAAGAAAGGAGATCAATTTTCAAAGCAATCCATTACATCCGAAATAATCAATAAAAATTGATTTTGATTTCACACAATTAAAAAGGAACTTTTAATCAAAGTAAAACTAAAATAAATATATAAACTAAAATTTGTTTGCTTCTTTGGTATACCTTTCTTGTGTTAGAAATTATTTTTATCCTTTTTTTTTATTTTACAATAATACATCATTTTCTTTAATTAAAATGAAGTGGTAATTAGAATATAATTGAATAATGGCGACATTAATGGAATTTGATTATTAAAATGAAACCATTTTTAGAAATAATTAATATTAAAATCGTCTAAATCATTTTTATGTAATTATTTCTTTCTACATTTGCATTAGAAACTGTCATCTTTCTATTTGCATAATTCATTCACATTTTAATTTTTACTTAATTACGTTGAAATACTTAATTTATTTATTTTTTAAAATTATTTTAATCTCTTACATTATTTTATAAAAATTGACAAATTTTTTTTGTATGAATCTAAAAATTAGCATAAAATTTTATGCTTAATGCACATTGATGTGTATCAAAGGTGAAAATGAGACGCGGGCGAATACTTTTGTTTATGTACCTAAGCTTTCTTCTGATTATAAAAGCAAAATTGCTTTTGACAGATTGTCATATAGTGCCTACCTAACATAAAGCCTCTCACAGTTCAAAGTTACTTTCGGTCGGCAAAAAGTATTCCACTCAAGCTCTATATTCTTTCTTTTTATTCTTTTTTTAACTTGAATATATTTTTACTACAAAATAAATAAAATAAAATGAGTAAAAATTTATCAAACGATCAGCTAAAATTTTCAAAGAGTAATTAATTTTTAAATTGTTTTTTTTTTACAATCTACTGTAATCAAATTAAGTTCCTAAAAATATTAGAACAAAAAGTTATAAACAATTGAAATTTTTAGCTGTCTTAAATAAAAAAAAAATTCTCAAGATCCAGTTGAGAAAATTTAAAAACAAAAAAATAGGTTCTCTTATCTTGTAATATAACATTTAAAATAATTTTTGTTTTTAAAAACATTGTTATTTTAAATAGATGTTTGAAGTTTTTATTTATAAAATATAAATAAAAAAAATGTGTTTTTCATGTGAAAAAAATTACTGTTACGTCGGATACATAACGCAAAGTATAAATTTCAGAGAATATTCGGAAATATTCTCTTATTTTATGTTTCGAGTCTAGACTTGCGTCCACTAACTCGGGAACGATTCAAATTGATCAATATATGTAAATAGGGATTTTCGCGGGGAAATTAAAGGAATAATTACGCGATAAACGCATTAAAATCCTTAGGTAAGGTAATGAAAATTATGGTAAATACAAAAATACGACAAGGAAATTGAAGAAATAAGAACACGATTAACGCATTAATATTCTTCGGAATTATTTAGAGATGACAAGAAAAAGATTTAGATGAAAGTTAGACAGCAATTTAATATAAGACTTACTTTTATTTAAACAAATTGGCACTTGTAGACTCGGAAATTGGTTGAAAAAGTGTTGAATTTTTGGCTTGAATCGTGGAAATTTTTAATACAATTTAAATTTAACACTTAGAAAATTGTTAGAAAAAAATGAAAATTAATTGAACTTGAACTTGAACTTGAACTTGAACTTGAACTTGAACTTGAACTTGAAGAAGAATTTGAGGAAGAAGTAGTTTTTTTAGAATTCTTGTGACTGTTTTTTGTGACTGTTTTTGTGACTGTTTTTTGTGTGACTGTTTTTTGTGACTGTTTTTTGTGACTAACTTCTCAACGGGGTTCGTATTTTTATATCATTGTCCCTACCTATTTTTAGGGATGGAACTATGTTTTAAAATAATGGGTCTCAAAGTGGAGGAAAAAGAGGTTGGGAAATTACAAGGATTGGATCCAAGGAAAGAAAATGGGGAAAAAACTGGTTAGGTCAGTGACGGTATTGGGCCCTTCAGGCCCAGCCTTGAGAGATAAGAAGTTGCGTGGGCGTACTTGAATTAGGGGAGTTTTCAAGTGGAAGGGGCTTAAAGTTTTGACCGTTTTCAAGAGATGGAGCCAAAATTCAGTTTTCCAACCAATTTCTGAGTTTTTCATAATTTTCACATTATTAATATTAAAAATTAATTTAAACATTATGAATATTAATATTATTAGTTAAAAAGTTATTAACAATAATTTTTAACAATAAAATGTAATTAATGATTAAAGTTTTAAAATATAAAGAATTTTGTATACTTAAATTGTTAATTAGTGATTAAAAATTAATTTGAATAATTAAAAATAATTAAAATTTATTTAAAATTGTTTAATTTGTTTGTTTATTATAAAAGTATAGAATATTCTTTATATTTAACGAAATTATTCTAAAACGTAAGTAATTTAAAATAATTGAATTAAAAATTAATAATAATCAAAAATGAGTAATAATAATTCAAATGTTTAAATAATATTTATAAACAATTATACACAATGATTTGTCTGTGAAATAATTAATTTATAATAAAAATTTGAAATATTTTAAATAATTAAATCTAATTAAAGAAACCAAAATTAATTAAAGTTAATTAACAATAAAATTTAAACATTTAAACAATTATTATTCATTATTTATAATTAAATCACTCATTCTCATACTTTACATAAAAAATATTTTATAACAGCTGAAAACAGGTCTTGTTGTTTGCAAGAGTGCATCTGTGCTCGGGATATTTAAATAGTTACGCTAGATTATTCAACTATGCTGACTTTATTTACAGGAGATATCAGAATGATATCTTCAAAATACAATGCTTCTCTATTCTATCTTTTTAAATTTCGGAACTGTTGATTTTGAGCTTAAGGTTTTGAGAATTTTAGACGTGTTTCAAATTTACCGGTAAACAAGTTTTTTTAGAAGTAATTGCATTTTGAAGAGAACATTCTGGTATCTTTTATTTAATTTAAGATTATTTACGCTTGTAGATAGTTTTGAAATAAATGTTCAAAACAGCGACGAAGTGTGGGAAACACTTATAATTCTAATTTTATCTAAACTAATCTTATTTAAACATTTATATACTTGAATTATACACGGGACGTTACACCCCAGCCGTAAAATGGTTACTTGAGGATGAAAGACGAAAAGTGACCAAACAAAAAAAAAATTGTACAGATATTTTATATTTGCGGATGAAAAGTTTTGAGGTAGGCTTTGGTTTCTTGAAACTCAATTCCCAAAATTAAGTATTTAAGTTGAAGTATCCTCTTTGTTGTTGTAGTTCATTTGAAGGATATAGTTGTTGCGAAGGAGGAGCTTCTGCCGCTGGGACTTCTTTCGTTTCTTGCGAAGTGACTTCTTGTAACGGAACATCTTCAGGTTGGGGTGGTCGAGTACCCAGATGTACTAATAAATGAGCTACAGACCCACAGATTGCACCTAATAGATGAATGGACCAACCATAGATGGAATGAAGAGTGTATCCATGGACTAGTGTGTTCACCACAGATTTGAGGAGGTGAAAAATGGTGAAGATTGCAAAAACTCCAGCACTTGCCGTACCGAAAACCATAAATTTATCCCACATCTTATTCCAAGTGTTGTTTACGAATTTTTCGACAACTTGTTCATTAAATAGATTCAGAACATTGTCATTGGTAGAGATGATTTGATGTCCACTCATACTCATAGCTAAGTTATTTAGAACTGCAGTTTTCTCTACAGGAAACATGATTTTATCGTTGAGTTGATCAATTTCTTTCTCGGTGTAGATTCCACTGGTAGCCAAATCCTCGGGGTTGATGTACTTCCATGTGTTGGGCTTGGAAGGTTGAATCACTGCAGGTGGCATTGCTTCGACGACTTGTGGTAGTATTTTATACCAATGTTCGTTGACGAGGTAGTATGATGGCAAAAGAGAATTACACTGGATTTGGGTTCCTCTGGTTTTTAGGACATGTGTCCTTGGAGAAAGGAAAAATGTTTTGTTGTTGGCGGTCACTTGAAGTTCATTGTAGCAGTTTTCTCCTTGTTGGATTTTTACTTCCATCGGGGTACACTTAATAATGTGGATTGATTCTCCTGAAACCAATGCCATATACCCTGGACCCTTCATAATATCAAACGCGAATTGGTCTGGTGCTTGAGTAGCTAGAGATAACGAATTTTTAATTGTTTGTTGCTCCAAGTAACATTTTTGGCTTACAATATCGACGTACAATTGTTTCATTTGTTTCCTGATGTGTTTTTCGACATAAATAAACTTGGAATTTACATATGCAAATAGGTCTAAATTTGAGATCGCGATTTTTGTGTTTTTAACAAAGCTAGTACCTAGTTGTGTTTCAAAAATGAATAATTTGGGGTGTTCCGTCTTTAAGATTAAATATCCACATATATATTCGCTTGATTTTGTATTTAAAGCAAATGTAACTTCGCCTTTATTAACAGTATAAATGGTTTGAGGATTATATATATCGTGATCTACCATTTTGTTGGCTCTACCTTCATACAAAATACTATATTGGTCGAATTTACAAGAATGCGGTTGTACAGTATTCCAATATGTATATCCTCCTTCCTGATCTACACATTTTTCTTCTGCTAAACGACAATTAGTTCCGGATTTTAGGACAATTGTATTCGACTCTAGTTTCACGCGAGCTAAGTGTTCTAATAAAGTTATTTTGACTGTTGCTTGCACAACTACCTTTTTCCATGATCCATAGGGATCCGAATAACCTGTTCCCTGACATGAACCATCATTTTCAAGACTTCCAGCTATTGTTATTGGATGAGTAATAGTTTCGTTAATTCGAAGTCCGCTGATTACATGGCTATTTGGTAATTTTAAAATCCCGGTTATGTGTGCACTCTCGCATTCAACCTTATTTGTTTCCATTATGTATTCATTCACACCGTTATGCACTACAGATATGTGGGAAAACATTCCACAACGATATATCGTTCGTCGTACTTCAACTTTACACTGCCTTACCATTACTTCAGAATACTCACTAATCTGAAGTAGTTGTATGTATGGATACGTTACGTTTAAGTTGATGTTGGGGACATCACATTGACCTACTTCAAGTAACGAAATTGTCGTTACATTAAGTTCTCCTGATCCACAATTGTATCCAATCATTCCCACTGAGAAGGAAGGAATGAGGAAAAGAAAACTCAAAAGTAGAACAATCATTCTGTAACAAAACCTTTTGTTTTCTTATTAATAATAAGTTTATTTAATCACTATCAACATGATTGTGTCTTTTATTTAATGGGGTTTTAGCTTCTTTGTTAATGTGAGATATTCGTAATCGATTCGTGTGTACCACTTTGTGGTTCTTTTCGATCTGAATTTTTACATTTGTTTTGCTCAAAATTTCGATTATTTTATAAGGTCCCGCATAATGGTTACCAAATTTACCGGGTTTGGGACCACTCAAGAGAAAAACGTAATCTCCTAATTTGAAATTAACAGGATTAATGTTTCTGTCATAGTATTCCTTGGACTTTTCTTTGGACTGAACTTGGTTGTCATAAACAAGTTTTTGAATACCGTTTAGTCTCGCTACTAACTCTGTTATGTACCCTTTAAATGTTGGGACTAAATCACCTTCTTGTAAAGGATCGGACGAGGGAAGTCTAGCTAATCGACCAAAAACGATTTCATATGGGGTATGTTTTGTGCTTTCGTGCACACTTGTGTTGTAACTAAGCATGGCTATATCGAGCCATTGGTCCCATTCATTATCAGCATCTGTATACTGTTTAAGAAATTCGCCTAAGGAATGATGGGATCGTTCTAAAGAACCGTTAGATTGGGGATGAAATGCTGTTGTTCTTAATTTTTTTATTCTAAATCTTTTCGCTACTCTAGTCATTAATTCACTTAAGAAGTTTCTGCCTTGGTCTGTTAAAACAGTTTTTGGTGCACCAAAGACACAGATAAATTTCTTAATGAAAGCATCAGCAATAGTGCTGGATAATGTATTAGAGAGTGGTACAGCTAAACAAAATTTGGAAAACAAATCTTGAATTGTAAGGATGTATTCGTTACCTTTAGAAGTGATTTTAAGAGGACCTACAATATCCATAGCGATTTTATCCAAAGCGATGCCTGGTGTGTCCGTTATCACCATAGGTTGCTTAGTTTTTAATCGGACCAATTTTTTTAATTGGCAATCTAAACACTGTTGGATTCTTCTAGTAACATCATCTTTTAATTTTTCCCAATAATAATTTTGTTTAATACGATTATAAGTTTTCGATACTCCCTTATGTCCTCCGATAGGACAATTATGGTGTTCATAAAAAATTTCGTCTCTTTTTGGAATAGGTACGTATTTTAATTTTCCCGTACAGATTAAAACTGAGATTTTAGAATTTTTAAATACTAAATTTATTAATTTTAAAATTTCTCTCCAATCTAAATTTTCAATATTTCTACTTTTAGCAATTGAAATTTCCGATTGGTTTAGTTCAATAAGTCGATTTTTCAAATTTTTAAATAATTCATGAATTCTTTTCTGAGTTTCGCTAATTGAAATGGGGTCTTTTTCTTTTAAACATAAGGAAAATAGAAATCGATTATTTTTTCGTTTAATCTCATTTACACGACCTACAACTAATGTTTGACGTGCAGAAATTTTATTATTTTCACTTAGTTTTAAGGCACCTTCATCACATGGTGTACCCTCATTATTTACAAAATACATAATATTACCTAATCGATGTTGAATAGTTTCATGAATTTCTGTAATATTAGTTATTAAACGGTTTGGGAATTTTCCATTTGTTAGCAACTCCTCATTACTTGATGAATCTGTAGATTCACTATCACTCTCATGCCTTAACCATCTTCTTTTTCTAGCTTTGATTGGGAGAGGTCTTAAAGGGTTTGTTCCAGCTACCTCTTCTTTTTCCGATTCGGATTCACTTTCTTCGTAAACAGGTTTTTGTTTATTTAAATTTCGCTTAGGATAATGTTTTACAGAAGGATTATTTATTAATGAGTCATTTATTTCTTGCGCTTTTTCTTTTTCTTCACATGGTGTTTTTGATTTAATCTTGTTATTATTAGGTATTTGTTGTTGAGGTACATCTTTTTGGTTTGAAATATCATTATCGTTTTTTGGGGTAGAATTTTCCAATAGCTTTTGTTGTGCTCTAGTTACAATATTTATATTTGTAGGTTCTAAGGGATTTCTTGATAAAGCATCTGCATTCGTATTTATTTTTCCAGGTCTGTAAAAGACAGTGTAATTATACTCTGATAATTTAAAACGCCATTTTTGAACACGAGTATTTAAATCTGCTGATTTGAACCAAATTAAAGGTTGGTGATCAGTGTATATGTTAATTTGTCGGCCATATACATACGATCGGAAAGCTTCTGTACTATCTACAATGGCTAATGCTTCTTTTTCATAAACTTCATAGTTCAATTCGGGTCCTCGTAATACGCGAGAAAAATAAGCAATAGGCTTGTCTTTGCCGATTTCTCCTTGAGATAGAATACCTCCGATTGCGTAACCTGATGCATCTGTTGTGATATTATAAGATTTATTTAATTCCGGAAATTGAAGTAAAGGAGCATTACACAAAAGATCTTTTAAAGTTTCAAATGAAAGATTAGTTTTTTCATCCCAAACAAATTCTGCATCTTTTTGTAGTAATTTTGTTAAAGGTTTCGCGATTTGTGCAAAATTTTTAATAAACCGTCTATAATATCCCGCAAGACCTAAGAATTCTCGAATTTTTTTAATATTTTTAGGGATTGGAAATTGTTTAACAGCTTCAATTTTCTTTGAATCAGGACTAAGACCATCCTTGCTTAACTTATGTCCTAGATAATTAACTTCTGTTCTTAAAAATTCGCACTTATCTGTTTGTATTTTCAATCCGGCTGTCACAAGTCTTTCCATTAACTCGTGAAATTTCTGATCGTGTTCTTCTAAACTATTTGCATAAATTACAATGTCATCTAAATATACAAATAATTTTACTCCTTGAAGTCCATCAAGTATGGTATCCATAAGTCGTTGAAAAGTTGCTGGCGCTGTTTTAAGTCCAAAAGGCATCCTTGTAAATTCATAGTGTCCAAATGGTGTGCTGAAAGCGGTTTTATGAGAATCCCGTGGATCTAACTTGATTTGAAGAAATCCTTTGGCTAAATCGATTATTGTATAGTATTTAGCGCCCCCTACTTGGTCAAAAATCTCAGTAATATTGGGGAGGGGATAGCTATCACTAATGGTTTTTTCATTGAGCCATCTGAAATCTAGAACGACTCTCCATTTTATTACACCTTGAGAATCCGGTTTTTTTGGTACTATCCATAATGGAATATTATATGAAGAATTGGAAGGTTTAATAATCTTTAATTTTAACAATTCTTTCATTTGTTTTATTATTTCTTCTTTTAAAGCATGAGGAAATTTATATTGTTTTGTATTAACAGGAATATCATCTATAGTTGGAATTCGATGCATAATGGCATTGGTACCCGGTAAATCATCTCCCGGCAAATAAAACATATGTTTATATTTTTCCACTAAATCCAGAATATGTTGCCGTTCTGTTTGTTTTAAATGGTCGAGACGTAAAAATTCCGCAATATTACATTTCTTTAACTGTTCTAATTCTTCTTGGTCTTCTTGATAATAAGGGTTTGAAGGATCTAAATAAAATTCATTGTTTTCTACCTCTGGATCTAATCCTTTAGTTAAATCATGAGCATTAACGTGAAAAATGTATTTCTCTTCAATATTATTTAAAGATTGAAAGGAATTAAATTCAAATTCAATATCTGTTGGTTGAACAACGTCTATGGCAAAGATTTTAACATCATTGGCTTCAGATAATGGTTGTAGATTGTGATATAAATTATCATTATTTTGTTTTTCATCAATTTGGCGGGTTTTATATTGGAAAGGAAATTCTCGATGATCTATAGTAATTATTGCATTTTTAAAATCGATTATTGCTTTAGCATCCTGACAGAATTGTGCACCAAGAATGGCAGAAGTAGGCATAATTACGTCATTTGAAACGACTTGAAAAGTAGATTTTACTCCATAAACATATATATCAGTACATCCTAAAGTTGCTATAAGATTATTACCAACTCCTTTGAGTAATTGTTTTTGATTTGTTATTAAAGGATCTCCTGGAATCATCATACGTTCTTTGATTACATTTGGTTCTGAACCCGTGTCAATTAAAAAGTCACTCCTTTTTTGAGTTAGAGCATGATTAATTGTCATAAAAGGCAATCTACCTAAGACATTAATATCTTCAACACTGCAAATATCTCTTGTTTCATTAATGATACTTTCTCTTCTTTTTAACGTTACGCGTAAATTATCTATTTCTAATTTTTGTGTTAAGAAATTGATTTTACATTTGGATGTTAAGAAAAACTGAGTGCCTAAAATTCCATCATATGGAATTGGTGTATTATTTGGAACAATTAAAAATTCAGTAATGTATCCTCCTATTTTTAAATTAACTGATCCTAAAGTTTCAGAAGATTCTCCACCTATACCGAAGATTTTATAGATATTATTTTTATTTATTGAATGTGATTCTGGAATACATTTTTGTTTTAATAGATTAGCTTCTGCTCCTGTGTCTAAGAGTAAACTAATACCTTTTTCTGAATTAATTTTTATATCAATGTACGGGCAAAATTTTCTTTGTGTTTCGTTTACAACGTTAATTCGCACGGTAGGTCTACTGTTTCGGTCACATTCACTGAGCGCATTGGTGTTATTTGAGTCTCCATGTTTGCGCTCGGAAGGGGGAGACTCTGGCCGTTTCCCTGAAATCTTTGATTGTTAAATAATCTTTTCCTACATTCTTCTAATGTGTGACCTATACCTTTGCAATATCTACAAGTCACTATTTGAGTTGGGTTCATCGATAATTGATTAACAAGACGTCGACATGTTGCCGCTGTATGACCTATACCATTACAATTTTGACATTGTAGTTGAGATCGCGATTCTAACGGATTTTGAAACTTTTGTTGCATATTGTCGGGTTTATAAAATGGATTTTTAAAGCATGTTTTAGCATTATGTCCTGGTTTGCTACAAATTTGACAAACTAAAGAATTAGAAAGGGATCTACATATTTTAGCCTCATGTCCCGGTTTACCACAAATTTGACAAACTACAGAATTAGAATTAGAAAGAGATCTACATGTTTTAGCTTCGTGTCCCGGTTTACCACAAATTTGACAAACTAAGGAATTAGAATTAGTCATTTGTCTACAAAATTTAGAATCATGTCCCGTTTTTCCACAATTTATACAAGGTTTGATTTTAAAACAATCAGATGCTTTATGACCCGGTTTATTACAAATTTGACAGATAATATTAGTATTATTATTTTTTTTCTGACAATCTTGAGTATTATGATCATTATTTTTACAGTTATTACAAAATTTATCATTACGCAGACTGCAATCGGTTGCTTCATGTCCTTCTTCTTTACATAATTGACATGTAAAAATCTCTTTCCTTCTTACAGGTTTTGAATCTGAAATTAAATTATTTCGCCTACCTTTTTGTGTGACTAATCTTTTTTCGATTTTAATTGCGCTTTTTATTAATTCAGTAATGTTAGCATTCACTGGCATTTTGTTTTCGATTTCTGGAAGGAGTCCTTCTTTAAAACTGTCTACGATATCAGCTTGGGTTTCAGTTATAAAATCTTCGGTTACAGTACCGGTGAAAGTGCGTTGAGCTTCAATAATTCGCGTCCCTATATCTCGAATTCTATTTGCGAATGTTATGACATTTTCATCTTCCCTTTGATATTCATTGCCTAAGTCTCCTAACAATTGTTTAACCGTTCGGCTAACTATATAAATATCTTTAAGGAAATTTCCTAAAGCTTCAATTGTTTCAAAATTTTGTCCAATAATTGTCTCTTGGGCCTCACCATAAATTTTGGTTCTAATTAATTTCACAAGATTACCTTCAGCCGCTGCTGCTACCATACTTTTAGCTTCTGAACATCCTCTTAAAAAGATATTAATAGGGATATTAGTTCCATTAAACTCTGGAACTGCTTTTAAGGCATCAGTTAAACTGACCGTTTGATTTGCATTTAAAGCCATGTTGGTAAAATTTAAATTTTCTTGTAACGTTAGATTATTATCAATTAAAGTATTGTCAATAGTATTTTTTTCAATTAATGTTTCGTTCGTATTTCCAAAAGGAATAGTTGTAATATCATTAAAACTCGAATTGAAATCTAATTGTCTTCTAACAGTTTCACCTGAAGTAAATGAACTTTCTGATAATGAAATATTAGGAAAATTTGATTCAAATTGAGATTCCACTATTGGTGTTGAGGTTGTTAAATTTTCTAAATTATTTTCACTTTTACAGGGAGATCGATCTAATTGTTTTCCTGTAATAAAAGGATTAAAAGCTTCGATTTCTGTTGCTAAAATAGGATCAGCCTTAGCCTGACTTCTTGTAATTCTTCCCTCATTCATAGAGTTTAAATTGTAAAGATTAGGGGAGAGGAGAGAGAGGAAAAAAAAAGGAAATGAATAGCAAAAGAAATTTTATGAAACAAAATTGACTGTATTATAAGACTTTTCTATAATCTATATCCCGTTGTACATTAGTTCTCGGTATTTTGTAATTAGTTTTCCATAGATCTTTGCAAGTGAGACAGGTTTTAGGATTGTTATTATGATTACAAAGGCTTCGTCGAAATAAAATTATTTTAGCATCAAGATTTAATTGTCTGAATACTTCAGGGTGAATTTGCCCTTTTACTAATTTAAAATCACACTTCTTAACTAATGGCTCGTTCTGCTCTACGGATTCGGGCAGTCTCGATTTTTCTTCTTCTATCCTTTTTAATTTTTCCGCTTTTGCCTTCCTAAATTCAGCTACTGGAAGCCACTTGTCTCCCAGAGACTGTTTTAAATTCCTATTGATAACCTTCCGCTGGGTTTTCGTTAATTTTTTCTTTGTACTAGTATATCCTGACACTAGAAAGACAAAGAAAAATACATAAAATAAAAATAAATAATTCTCCTTTTTTTTATTCAAAATGAGTTTCTTAGATTCTAATTAAGAGTAACCCAACTGACACGTTTAACGCATTTCGCTACATGAAATTCGAATTCGGGTTTTGGGACAAAATGACCACCGTTATGGGGGCATAAGACTAATTCTCGAGATTGTGGCTCATTATTTCTTCTGCATTTAATTAGGTGATTAGTTATTTTCGCGTGACTTATTCTATGAGACTGGTCATATGGACACGTTTCTAAGTCAGCTCTAACAAAAGGCATTTTAAAGAAAACAAGGAATACTATAATATGACAAAATCGATATTTTCAAATAAAAAGAAAATTGGCCAATAATATAAATGAAAAATCAACAATTTAATTTTGGAAATTGCGTTCTCTTTTTTTTTTAAAGTTTCATTTTAGGATTTTGTTTAATTTTACTCTCTTATTTAGAGTTTATTTATTCAATTTTATATTTTTTTTTTTTTTTATTTTATTTTAGAAAAATTTATTTAAGATTTGGAATTTATTATTTTCATTTTCTAAAAAAAAAATTTGAATCACACTTTAATAAAGTGCTACGACGACAACCCCTTTTTTTGGTGATTGTTTAGAAATAATTTTTACTCTCTTTTTATAGTATTTAGAAAATTTTTTTTTATTTTCACTCTCTTTTCGGAGTTTTTAGATTTAGAATTTTTTTTAGATTTAGAATAATTGGATTTAGAATTTTCAATTTATAACATTTGGATTTAGAATTTTTGATTTATAACATTTGGATTTAGAATTTTTAGATTTAGAATAATTGGATTTAGAATTTTTAATTTATAACATTTGGATTTAGAACAATTGGATTTAGAATTTTTGATTTATAACATTTGGATTTAGAATTTTTAGATTTAGAATAATTGGATTTAGAATTTTTAATTTATAACATTTGGATTTAGAATTTTTAGATTTAGAATAATTGGATTTAGAATTTATAACATTTGGATTTAGAATTTTTGAATTTAGAATAATTGGATTTAGAATTTTTAATTTATAACATTTGGATTTAGAATTTTTGATTTAGAACATTTGGATTTAGAATAATTGATTTAGTAATATCTTTTTTTTAATTCATTAACAAGGTTATTATTAGGAATAATCATTTTATAATCAAAAATAGAATAAGGGTAAAAAAAAATTTTCAAAATCGCGATAATAGAAGAGAAGTTACAATATATAAGTTAAAATTCAAATTTTCTATTAAAAACCGCGAAAAACTTCGCGATCGCGAGATGAAGCGCGAGGTGGAGGGGGAATTCGCGGGGGGAGACCGCGAGAGGCGCGATGCAGCTTGGCGGGGCCCGCTGTCGTCGCGCGCAGTAGTAATGGCCGATGACCGACTTGCGTAGTCAGCCGTAGTGCGGTACTACTGTAAAGGCACGTACAGCGAGAGGCATGCTCTCGAGAGTAAGGGATCGATTCTGACAATCGATATATATATATCGATTGCGCCTATCGATTCGTTCGCCTGTCAAAGGGGTGCTTTAAATCGAAATCGCAACTGGATTTTTATGTATGTTAACAGTTTAATATGTTGCATACGCACATTTTAACACAAGTTTTAATTAATAAATGTGACATTTTATTAATTTATTTATAAATTTCAGTTTTTATTGAAAATGAAAATTTATTTAAGTTTTATTTTAAAACAAAGTTTTTTTTAAAAAAATTTAATTCTTAATTTTTAGAAAATGAAATTTCCAATTTTTTTAAATAACAATTTGTGTGACAATTTTACACAAATTCTTTTAAATTTTGTTGATTTTTCATTCTTGTAATGGTAAATTCTAGATTTTGAGCATTTTAGTAATTTACGGAAATTTTCCAAATTAACCAATGTACATAAAATTTTTGAAATATTGTTAATTTTTCAATTTATAATGACAAATTCTCATTTTAACATTCTAGCAATTTATAGGGAATTTTCAATTTTATTAAATTTCGGTAATTTTTATACGAATATACGAATATTTCACAATTAACATATTTATTAACGTAACGTTCATTTGTATTGAATTTTTAGTAAATAAAATGATTCTTTTTATATATAAAATTGAGATAATTAGAGAGAAAATAGATGAAAGAAGAAGTTTTTTTTTTTTATAAAGATCAATTTGAACTATCCCCCCGGGGCCTCCAAAAATTTACCCTATGTTACGTCGGATACATAACGCAAAGTATAAATTTCAGAGAATATTCGGAAATATTCTCTTATTTTATGTTTCGAGTCTAGACTTGCGTCCACTAACTCGGGAACGATTCAAATTGATCAATATATGTAAATAGGGATTTTCGCGGGGAAATTAAAGGAATAATTACGCGATAAACGCATTAAAATCCTTAGGTAAGGTAATGAAAATTATGGTAAATACAAAAATACGACAAGGAAATTGAAGAAATAAGAACACGATTAACGCATTAATATTCTTCGGAATTATTTAGAGATGACAAGAAAAAGATTTAGATGAAAGTTAGACAGCAATTTAATATAAGACTTACTTTTATTTAAACAAATTGGCACTTGTAGACTCGGAAATTGGTTGAAAAAGTGTTGAATTTTTGGCTTGAATCGTGGAAATTTTTAATACAATTTAAATTTAACACTTAGAAAATTGTTAGAAAAAAATGAAAATTAATTGAACTTGAACTTGAACTTGAACTTGAACTTGAACTTGAACTTGAACTTGAAGAAGAATTTGAGGAAGAAGTAGTTTTTTTAGAATTCTTGTGACTGTTTTTTGTGACTGTTTTTGTGACTGTTTTTTGTGTGACTGTTTTTTGTGACTGTTTTTTGTGACTAACTTCTCAACGGGGTTCGTATTTTTATATCATTGTCCCTACCTATTTTTAGGGATGGAACTATGTTTTAAAATAATGGGTCTCAAAGTGGAGGAAAAAGAGGTTGGGAAATTACAAGGATTGGATCCAAGGAAAGAAAATGGGGAAAAAACTGGTTAGGTCAGTGACGGTATTGGGCCCTTCAGGCCCAGCCTTGAGAGATAAGAAGTTGCGTGGGCGTACTTGAATTAGGGGAGTTTTCAAGTGGAAGGGGCTTAAAGTTTTGACCGTTTTCAAGAGATGGAGCCAAAATTCAGTTTTCCAACCAATTTCTGAGTTTTTCATAATTTTCACATTATTAATATTAAAAATTAATTTAAACATTATGAATATTAATATTATTAGTTAAAAAGTTATTAACAATAATTTTTAACAATAAAATGTAATTAATGATTAAAGTTTTAAAATATAAAGAATTTTGTATACTTAAATTGTTAATTAGTGATTAAAAATTAATTTGAATAATTAAAAATAATTAAAATTTATTTAAAATTGTTTAATTTGTTTGTTTATTATAAAAGTATAGAATATTCTTTATATTTAACGAAATTATTCTAAAACGTAAGTAATTTAAAATAATTGAATTAAAAATTAATAATAATCAAAAATGAGTAATAATAATTCAAATGTTTAAATAATATTTATAAACAATTATACACAATGATTTGTCTGTGAAATAATTAATTTATAATAAAAATTTGAAATATTTTAAATAATTAAATCTAATTAAAGAAACCAAAATTAATTAAAGTTAATTAACAATAAAATTTAAACATTTAAACAATTATTATTCATTATTTATAATTAAATCACTCATTCTCATACTTTACATAAAAAATATTTTATAACAGCTGAAAACAGGTCTTGTTGTTTGCAAGAGTGCATCTGTGCTCGGGATATTTAAATAGTTACGCTAGATTATTCAACTATGCTGACTTTATTTACAGGAGATATCAGAATGATATCTTCAAAATACAATGCTTCTCTATTCTATCTTTTTAAATTTCGGAACTGTTGATTTTGAGCTTAAGGTTTTGAGAATTTTAGACGTGTTTCAAATTTACCGGTAAACAAGTTTTTTTAGAAGTAATTGCATTTTGAAGAGAACATTCTGGTATCTTTTATTTAATTTAAGATTATTTACGCTTGTAGATAGTTTTGAAATAAATGTTCAAAACAGCGACGAAGTGTGGGAAACACTTATAATTCTAATTTTATCTAAACTAATCTTATTTAAACATTTATATACTTGAATTATACACGGGACGTTACATTACGCACTCAATTAGAAAGAAAGTTATTTAATAATATAATTATTTATTTAAATAATAATTATTTATTATAAATATAATAATTACGTGCATTATTTTCAAAAAAAGAATATTAATTATTCAATTATTACATAATTAAATAATAATTTTTTGATTAATATTTTTCCAATTTTGTGTCACTTTTTTCACAATTTATAGGTATGCGGAATATAAAATAATACTGTTTTTTATTAACATTTTATAAATAAACAATTTAAAAAACTGTTTAAAATAAAAATATGTATATTAAACTTAATAAAAAGTATTAACATACTAATTTAATCTAATTTAATTTAGAGTGGCTCATATTGAAAAATAAATACATATAGGAGTAAAAGTGCACTGAGAAAAATAATTTCGTAATAATAAGAAAATAATTTAGTTGAGCTTTTTTAGTTGGCGTTACTAAAATATGGTTGTCACAACAGAATAGAAAGTGGCAATAAATCGGGAAGTTTAGTTGGCTCTACCAAAAAATATATTTGAAGCTTTCATGTTTACGAACTAAATAGTTTGGTTCCCAGTACTAAATAGCTGACATGCTGTATTGCGCACGCGCTCTTCTCGTAAATATGGCGTCGCTTCCCATTCACGGGATGTCAACATTAACCATATGTCGTTCGCGTCGTGAAGTTTCAGTGTTGAAGTTTTTATGTTTTTCAGACATTTTTTAAAAAAAAGTTTGTGTAGTGAAAATAAATAAATAAAACTTGTTACAAGAACGAAAGTTTTTTTCCAGCTTTTATACATTGTGAAAATGATTTAATCTCAAATTGTTAGTAGGATTCGTAGAGTAGTGGTCAGCGTTCTCGACTAGCGTTGCGTAGTCTGAGGGTTCGAGCCCCAGCAGTGTTAGGTTTTTTCCGCGATAGAAATTAATTTAAGTAGGCATAGGTAGGTTATATAAAGAGAAAAGGGTGAAACAAAAAAATAAGTTGGTTGAGAAAACAAAAAAAAAATTTTCATTTAACTAAATTTTTTGTTTGCTTAAAAACAATAAGTTAGTTGTGCAAAACAAAAAATTTGGTAGACCGAACAAAATGATTCAACGAAAAAATTTAGTAGCCCGAACCAAACGGATTAGTTGCACATATATCAAATAAAAAATTTGGTAGAGAGAACCAAACTTTGGTAGATGATACTAAACATTTTTCTCAGTGTGCGCTCTAAAATAGTATAGAAAAAAAATATGTTAAAATTGTCTAATGTTTATAAAAGAGATGAACGACTTTTCACTTGTGCAATTTAATATTTAAATAGACTTTTTAAACTTATAAAATAACTACAAAAAATCTCATTGTCTCTTTTATAAATATAGATTAAAGTATTAAGTATTTAAGTATTAGGTATTAAGTTATTAAGTTTGTGAAATATTACAGTCGAGGAAGAATATATATAAATGATACTTTTATAATTTTTAAATATTTTATATTCATATACATATTTATATTTTATTTTCATTACAATATAGAAAAGGGACGTTATACGTCAAAAAATTTTTAAGTTATGTTTGTGATTTTTGAAGATGAAAATACTCACAGACAATCAACTCTTAGAAAAAAACATTTACGTTTAAGTCTCCATTATACATTCAAAAAATTCAATAAAAACTAATTTTGATTTTGCCAAATTAAAAAGAAACTTTTTATCAAGGTAAAACATATCACTAAACATATAACTTAAAATTTTTTTGACGTAAGGTCCCTCTTCTCTCGTGTAGTGTCAAACGGAGAAAAATGGGATTGCTGTGCAAACAATTTTTGGATTGTTGTCAGTAGATTTGTTGATATTACAATTCGGATTGTTGTCAATACAAATGTATGTTGTTTTAACAACAATACGAATTTTTTGTTGTCAGTTTTGTTCAGTTTGCAATTCCGTACAGTTGCAGAAGCAAACTCTCTGTCGATTGCTGATGGAACAATCCGGATTTGTTCAGCTGACAGGTTTATTGTTTCATGTCACGTGGTCATCTTGGATTCTCGCAAACTGGCGTGCAGATCGTCGCGTCGTTTGCTTCTGGCACATGTGCCACTTTTGCTTTTATTATTAGTTTTTTTTTAAATGACAGAGTGCTGTTAAATAATGAATTCGGTTAAAGTGAGAAATCTATCACAGAAAAAACTTGGACTCATTTTTGTTGCAACTCATTTTCTTTTGGGTATCGAAATGAGTATGGGACAAACTTCATGTTATTCAAAATGATATTGGCTGGAATTTCAGATTTCTAAGTTGGCATCATAAGCAGAGTAATTTTGTATTTCAATTATTGTTTCTAATATTTCAACAACACCAGAAAGATTATTTTGACCAGTACGAATATTTAGAAGTTTTTAAATAAAAATTATTTATTATTATTTACGTAGATAATAATTAATTTCATAAGTTTTTAAATTTACCGCTATTATTTAAGTTGGCAGTACCGTTCCTGTTGTCAAAACACATGTTTTCATTTTTCTAACCTAAAAACATATTTCCTTTATTATTTTATTACGCGATTACAAGCAATTTTTAATCAAATATATTAAGTCTAGCGTGTTATTTACTTCTTTGTAATTATTATATTTCATGTTTTTGTGCAAAATTATTCGTTATTTCACAATATTTTTCCATTTTTCTTTTTCTCAAAATGAAACTTGCCTGTTTCATTTTGATACTTTTACCTTAGAACTCGAAATGAGACAACCAGTTTCATTTTTGTTGCGAATCAAATTGAGTATAGAATCTATACTCAATTTGAATTCAGGTTTTTTCTGTGATTGCAAGTGTAGTGAATGGATGAAGAGACAATTTCATCGTTTATTGCTAAGTTATACTCGGTTACTATTGAACATAACCTCACCTTAAAAAATACAAAATTAACAACAAATTTCAACTCTAAATAATTTTTTGGTTTCAGGTCAAAGAATTTGATTCAGAAGCTGCATGTTCCACAGATTTTAATGCAAATAAAACTGGTGATATGACCAACGGAAATCTGCTAACGATTATTTTAGAAGGCGAAGCAATAACTGAACAAATTGTATTAGACAGATCAAAGCTTTTGTTAATACAACAAATTGTATTGCCGATTTAACAATTTAGTTTTGTTATTTCAACTGTTCCATAACAATTTTGTTTGTTCATCAAACAATTCTGTTTGTTCACCGAACACTCCGAATAGTTTTAATAACAATCCCATTTTAACCATTTTTTTTGTCCCAAAAACAAATAGAACTGCTGGTTCCATATTGACAATTCGGAATTGTTGTGTGGACTTAATTTTTAGTAACCACAACAATTCTTTTATTCCGTGGCACATATTGAAAAATAGGTATAACTTTTATTCTATTTATTTATAACTTTATTTATATAATTATTATAACTTAAGTTTATTCTGAAACTGACTTTTACTACTAATTAGTAAAACTAATAAAATTTTAAAAAAGTTTGTTTCATTGAGACTGTCTTTTATTATTACAAAATTAAAATCAATTTGGAGAATAAGTTTTGTCCGACTGAAACGGTCTTTTACTACTTATTCTACTTATACACTCGACTCTGGGGTATATATATAATTCGAATGTTTTCAACATCAAAAGAATGAAACTGATTTTCACTATATTAATACTCAAATTACACGAATTGGAAAAATTTCAGATAACTGAAATGAATCAACATTTTAAGAAAACTGCGATTCATCATTTTGAATTACATGACATTTATTTAGTTTCATATTTGTAATCAGTGATCCAACAAAAACCCTCGAGTAACTATTTGCGTACTCTCTAAATCTGAATTACTAAAAAATTTAACTACTTTATTTGAAATTAGTTAAACTTTACTAACTCGTTAATAAATAAAAAAAATTGTACAATCCGATTTATTTGATTGACTACAGGAATATAATTGTGCACAGCATAGAAAAAACGTAGATTGAAAATAATTCATCTATAAAATATTTACTTTTAATAATAAATTGAGAAAAAATGCATTTTTTATACTAATTAATTATGTATTTTAATAAAGATAGATATACGATAATATTAGTTTTAAAGTTTTAATTGAACAAAAGTTAAAAATGAATTGAAAAATTGAATGGATTATTGGAAATCTATATTATGAGCGATTGATTTTATATATATCTATGGAAGCAATTATTCCAATTTTATTTCTGAAAATAGTATATACTTTAAGAGTTGATGAAACTGACAAATTTATTATGTTTATTATTTATTAGATCCTACTTGA